AAAGATAAAGTTTACTCCTCAACTATTTTTGTTGGGTATTATTGTAGATTTTGATGTTAAGGAAACTAATTTGATGTTGAATTTAATAAGAGCAGCAAGGCTGTTGGCCGGGCAATATTGGAAGAAAGATTCCTTGCCGACTATAGAAGAATGTACTCTTAAGGTTTCAAATTTAGCAGAAATGGCAAAAATCTCGGCTTATTTGAAGGATCATTCACAAGAGAGATATATTTCGGTTTGGAGAAGATGGGTAAACTATATTCAGAATAAATATGGGACTAAAAAGTTCTATTTATTTTATGAATAAATTTTAGAATTATTGTTGTTATTATTATTATTAATAGTTTATTATAGTGAAATTTTTATTATATCCTTTTATTATATTTTATTATATTCATATGTCTATGAATTAGGATTTTAATTTTATATGATTAAGTTTATTTGCAAATTGTTTATTCTGTGTGAAAGGGGAGTTAAAGTGCATTATATTTGTTTTTTTTATATAGTTGGTTAATGTTAGTTAGATTATGATTATTATATTTGTTACCCTGTTTTCAGTTCTGGGAAGTTGGGGAGGGGGAGGGGAGGGGGGTTAGGGTGGGTGGGTTTTGGGGTATATTTTGTAATTTTTGTAAAACTTTTTAATAAAAAGAAAAATAATAATAAACTTAAAACGCCATTTAAAAGGTTTTATTTTTTTGGGTGGCTGCTATACCAGCTTGGAGGGACTGTTTTCTGTCCCTTAGTGATAGCAGCGTTGAGGCCACAGAAAAGGCCTACGAAGGCCTCCATGCTAATGCTATGGGACAGAAAACTGCCATCCTGTGGTCAAAACGGGAATTGCAGCCACCAAAAGAAATAAACCTTTTTTAATGGCATTTAAGTCTATGGTCTAACGTTGATCAGACCTGAAGTCCACCGTGCCCAGAGGGTCGCCGCAAAAGGAAGTTGGAGGATGACTAAGAAGGATGGACCGGAAAAAGGTCGTTTTTCAGAGGCCCAGGGAGACATCTGATTTGATCGGACAGGAAGTCCGCCATGCTGAGAAGGTCTCTTTGAGATAACTCGTGAAGAACGAGCTGGCAGCGTATGCGGAGAAGGCTGACGGAAGCAGCTCGTCCCTTTCAAAGGAGCGTAGAGTGGCAACACTTTGGCTGTGCTTTGAGGCTTTGCTTCTCGGTGTCCCGATCCTAGGCAAAAGGTCTACGGGGGCCTCGATGCTAATGCGATGGGACAGAAAAGCGTCCCCTCCTGTGGTCAAACTGGGTATTGTGGCCGCCCAAAAGAAATAAAATGGGATTTTAAGGTTATTATTATCTTTATTATTAACACCTTATTAAATATTAATATTATTAATGCTTTATTATTAATATTAATATTAAAAGAGAGGCCCGTTTGCTGCAACACAGGCACAGAAGAAATCCTGCTTCAGAAGCCTTAAACCAAATTAAAGCCTACGATGGCGTATTAATATTAATAATTTTAATAATAAAGAATAATAATTTAAAAATGCCGTTAAAAAGGTTTATTTTTGTGGCTGCTATACCTACTTGGACCACAAGATGGCACGGTTTTCCATCCCTGAGGGCTGCAGAACTGGCACAGAAGAAGGAATCCTGTTTCAAAAGTGTTGAACTTAAAAAAAGGACTAGGATAGCTTCAATAGACAGAGAATAATCTTAAAATGCCATTGAAAAGGTTTATTTCTTTTTGTGACTGGGATACCTGATTTGACCATGGGATGGCACAGTTTTCCATCCCTTAGCATTGAGGGCATTAAAAAGCCCTACTTTGGCCTCAATGCTAATGCTATGGGATGGAAAACTATGCCCTCCGGTGATCTAAGCGGGTATTGCGGTCGCCAAAACAAATAAACCTTTTTAATGGCATTTTAAGATTATGGTATTCTCTATCTTTATTAACGGTATAAATGCTTTATTAATAGGGCTACGGGAGGCCTATTTACTGCAACCAGGCGCAGAACAAGAAATCTGCTTCAAAAGCCTTAAACCTAGTTAAGAAAGCCTAGGAGGCCCTAATATTAATAAGGTTTTATTAATAAAGAATAATAACCTTAAAATGCCATTAAAAAGGTTTATTTCTTTTGGTGGCTGCTATTTTCTGGCCCCCAGAACAGACGCGGGAGGAGGAATCCTGCTTTAAAAGCCTTAAACAGTTAAAGAGGCCTGTGAGAGCTTCTGTAGATGCAGAATAATCTTAAAATTACATTAAAAGGTTTTATTTCCTTTTGTGCCTACTGTTCCTTCTTTGACCGCAGGACTCGGACTCTCACTCTAGGACTGCTTATTGAAAAAGATGACCTCCCCTCCTATATCGCTAACAAAGGAAGACATCATGAGTTGGAGAAGATGGAATGCTTCCGTGAAAAATAACATTTTAACGCCCTGTTAGAATCTCTTCGGTTCCCAAAATTGTGTATCGGGCTATAATTAAAATTTTGTATTGGCTAAATTTGTAGACCCCCTGCCCTGGCCTTGCCCTGATGCCGACATAAAGCCTGGGCTGCTGATTCTGCAGTCTCTTACGAGTGGGGATATTATACGTTTTGTTGAATTTACTTTGGGTTTACGTTAAGATAGATTAAAATTGGGGCTTCCTCCCCTAGAAGTGACTGTTGACATCCAGCCAAATGGAAAACTGAAGCAAAAGATAGAAGAAAACAATAAAAACAAAAGAACACAGATGGAAGCAGAAAGTGACAGATAGAAGCAGAAGCGGAAGCAGAAGCAGGAGGAGATACATAAAAAAGAGAAAGAAAGAATAAGAACTTGAAGCAGAAGACAGATATGGAGAAGCAGAAGGAATGAGTTACTCTTTAGCGTGCGAAACAAAGGTGCTCTACCTTGCTCCCCTTGCTCCCCTTCCATAGGTGGGTGGAAATCCTGTGGTTGTAAAATACTATTCTGCTTGTTTGATACCTCAACTTGCAAATGGGATCGCTTACTGTGTGTATTCTGATCTCTGCTGTAACTAGACTACTTTTGCGATTAAAAAAAAAAAAATCAGTGGGCCAGGTTTTTTTTTACAGATAAACTTCACCTCTTATATTTTCTGTTCATTTATATTTATCGTTTCTTAATAAAAATGTACACAATTTATTTCAATTAGATATTTAATATTCAACGTATATTAATATATTGATATCTCTAAGAAATATAGTTTAGAAACATCAAACATAACATAAATACAAATTTACATATGTACAATCTCCTTAAAGAAATAGCAAGGCAGAAAGTAAAGCATCAGACCCGTAGGAAAGGGCCTTCTCTTTCAAGGTTGCTTGAAAGGAGGATAGGGGAAAGCTATGGTAAATGGACAGGACGTCGGCCATGACAGGAAGGTCGTTTCCAAATCCACTGCGGGACGGCCGAAGCGGAAGGACAGGAAGTCCACCATGCCGAGAAGGTCTCGGTGCTAATGCTATGGGACGGAAAACTGTGCCCACCTGTGGTCAAAGCAGGTATTGTGGCCGCAGAAAGAAAAACCTTTTGAATGGGATTCTATCTTTATTATTAACGCCTTATTAATATTAATAGGGCAACAGGAGGCCATTTTGCTGCGACACAGGCGAAGAAGAAGAAGGCCTAATATTAATAAGGTTTTATTAATAAAGAATAATAATCTTAAAATGCCACTTAAAAGGTAATTTCTTTTGGTGGCTGCTGTACCTGCTTGGAACACAGGAGGGCACTGTTTTCTGTTCTTTGGTGATAGATGGCACGGCCATGGAAAAGGCCTATGTCCTAGGATGATGAATTAAGGTTACTTTGATGGGTGCTAAGTTTAAAAATATACTTCACCAAACATACATAAATGTATTGCTATAGTTAATATTAAAGTGAGTTAGTGAGGTTAGATTTTACCACTGTTAGTTTTGAAATTGATACATTTATTAAAATGTTTTATGTCTGCCTACGTCAGCTATTTCTGACGTAGTGCTTCAAGGCACTTCAAGGCACTGTTACAATGTACAATGTCCTGCTCTCTCTCTTCTGGCACCTGCATGGAGACCTTGCAAATAAGCCCAGCATCACTGAAATTTATATCCAACCTCATGATAATAAACAACCGATACCGTCTTTTTTACCTTAAAAGAATTTAGAATAGAATAACAAGTTTATTGTCATTTTGTATGCTAATTGGCATACATTAAAATCATCAGAGACTGAGAAGAGGCAGTGGGTGAGTGAGCTGCGAGGAAAAGCAACAGCAGCAACAAAGTCAAAGAAGGGAAACAAAAGACAGACTACCATTAAAAGACAAACAGTGGCAAAGTGTAGTCTGTCTTTTGTTTCCCTTTGACGATTCATGTCTACCTACATCATCCATTTCTTCCATCTTCAAGGCACTCTTACAAAAGTAAAATCAAAAAGGTAAAACGTAAGTTAGGACATCGGTATGCTTAATGTCAAAACTAAATGTTGGAATTGATGATTCTGCGTTATTGGAAACGGTTTTACTGTCCTAATTAGCGGGGAAGGAGGTCAAAGAGACTGCCTTCCGCAGCCTTGAGAAGGCCCCTCTGGCAGTACCGTTGCGGCATCGCAAAACTGAAGTTCCTATCCTGCTGGGCGCGTTCCTGGCGCGGTTGGCGCCGAGCCGTTGAAAGCGTTAAAAGGCGATACCCATCCTTCGGCTCCGGAGGAAGCTGCAGCTGCCAAAAAAGCCGATGCGGGCAGGGCCAGCTGGCTATCGGGGCAAGCGCAGCAGTCGCCGCTGGCTGCTGCGCGATGGGTGTGTGATCGGGAGCGTAGATAAAAACCCCGCGACTCGGGCGGTGAGGCCGCCTCGATCGGGAGACCGGTGGAAGGGCGTCCGAGGCCACCACGTGGGGCTTTGCCCCGTCGCTTCCACACTCGCCACCCGAACAACACGGAGAACCGCGCTCCGAGCCGCGGCCCTTTCGATCGGGGCCTCCCGGGAGGCCGGCGCGCGCCGTGTCGCTAGGAAACGGAGCGGCGCCATGGCAACGGCCGCGTCGCTTTCCGGGGGCGGGGCTTTTCCGTTGGGGCAGCGGGGCGCGCGGTCCTCTGCTGCGTGGCGTCCGCCCGGCTTCACCCCAGCGGGCCATGGCTGGGCCCGCCCTGCGCATCGGCGACCAGCTCATCCTGGAGGAGGACTACGACGAGAGCTACATCCCCAGCGAGCGAGGTGCGCGGGCGGACGGTCGGGCTCCTCCAGCCAGCCGGGGCCCGGCGGGGTCGTTTCACCGGGCGCTTCTCTTTCGCAGAGATCCAGGAGTTCGCGCGCGTGGTGGGTATCGACCCCGAGCACGAGCCAGAGCTGATGTGGCTGGCCCGGGAGGGCATCGTAGCCCCGTTGCCCGCCGAGTGGAAACCGTGGTAAGCTGTGACGCCGCTCCCGCGCAGGGACTGCGGCCGGGGCGGCTCTCCCGCTCCTCCTCCCGGGCGCGGTTCTGGCCCGTTCCAAAGGTCCCGGGCGGAGGCGATGCTGCAGCTCAGCTGGGCTACAGGATCAGGAGGGAGGCGAGGCCGGGCGGACGGAGGCGCTCCAGAGAGTCAGCCGGTCCCAGGAAGCGCCGCAACTGCCCAGTCTCCCCCCCCCCCGGCGGGCCCCCAAAAGCCTTCCTGCCTGGGTAACAAATTCGACTGAAGCGCCGGCTTCGGATGCGGTGGCGACGCTCGCGGTTTCCACCAAGTCCCGTGGATTGCTTAGTTTCCGGAAGCAAAAGAAAGCGCGCTGCGTTCCTCTAGTTGGGAGGCCATGTGATGCCTTCTGGTTCTCCCAGAAAGGATGAAGGAGGACAGGAATCTGAGCACCACAGTCACAATCGCGCACCACCCCCCCCATGATAAGTCCTGGCGTGCTCTTTTTCTCTGTCCTTTGGGGCCCTCAGTTCCTCCTGGGAAAGGTCTCTCTGAGCAGTTGCTCCTTGCGCGCTCTCTCTCTCTCTGTGTCTGCAGCCAAGATATCACTGGTGATATCTATTACTTCAATTTTGCCAATGGCCAGTCGACCTGGGACCATCCGTGTGATGAGCGCTACCGCCAACTTGTGATCCAGGAAAGGGAAAAAATTCTGGAACATAGTGGTCTTAAAAAGAAAGAGAAAAAGAAGAAAAGGGCAGAAAAGAAAAAGGATAAGAAAGAAAGAGACTTGTCAAAGAATCTTGTGGTGAGTACTTGAACAAGCATTAGCTTTTCACTATCAGAATAGGGAAACAGATAAAATCTTCCTGGTTTCTCCTTTTGTTCTTGTTCTTCATCCCTCCCTCCAAAGACCTGTCCCCCCCATGGGATAAAGGACCTGAGCTTTAAATACACCTGACTAGTGATTTTTCCACTTTCAGTTTTGTTTAACCCTTTCCTGACACTGCTGGGAAAGGTTTCTTTTAAAAAAAATCTAAGAAATAACTGGAGATAATGATGTATTTTGTACTGCTTTTCAAACCATTCCCGAAACGTAGAGACCAGTTTTAGCCTTGGCACTTGCTCTTTTTTCATGGGTGTTTCTTCCAGTCTCTGGTGCTGAAGATTTGGCAGGGTTTGAATAAATTAGTTGCCTTGAATTTTTCCCCCATAAAAACTATTGCAACCATGTATGTTATTCAGACATCTGATTACCATATCCAAGCTGATATCAAAAGCCTGGCAACCATAATGATGGGTTCCTCTGGCAAGCAAGAGCAAGAAATGCAGACTTATTTTTCCTTGCAAGGCTCATATAGAAGAAAAGTTAGCCTATTTACAAAATCACTAACCTGATGGTTTTTGCCTACTTAGGAGATGCAATCAGAGCCAGGGATTCTTCCATTAACGTCCTTTTATGGAGTATCATCTCCTATCCTGTATTCAGAGCATGCTAGTCCTGACCTAGAGCAACAAGGCAGCCTGGTGACACAGAATGACCCCTTCCTGAAAAACCCCAAGGGAAAGATTTCAGATACAGGTGATTTGTCCAGGCTGCTATCAAGCCCTGTCCCAGGGAAACTACAACCTCTTCTGCCAGAAAAATCAAACCGGACTCAACAGATCCTTGCAGATGTGGAGAAAATTCTTGGAAAAAATGCATCCTCCAGTAGGTCAGACGTTAATCATCAAGCACACAAAGATGCGAATACAGAAACCAGATGTGCAGCTGCTGATGGTATTTTATCAGACTTGGAAGCTGAGGACGTAGATAGCATCCACCTCATAAAGCCTTTTTTCCAAACACTGAAGAAATCCTCTCAAACTATAGCAGGTGCTATGACTGTGTTAGCCCTGGGGGGAGTCAAGGAGAAAAGACTGTTCTTAGAGGGAGAAAAACAAGGTGAGGACTGCGGGAAAGGCCATGCAGAGGGAGACGGACTGGTCAGGAAGGGAGATTTCTTGCATAGTGTTGAAAAGGAAATGCAGCTTTCTCCTTCTGCCGCTGCTTTCACATTGATTGCATCCAGGACTTTGGAGGGACAAGGTGACATCCATTATTTTCAAAATGAAGTATCGAGGCCTCTGGAAAGAATAAAGGAGAGCAGAAGGAAAAAAAAGAACCCTTCTGAACATTGCCAGGCCACAGAGTCCAGCCCGTGGCAGATGAAGGCTCCTGTTCCTCATCCTCATCTGCAGGGTTCTGTTGAGCTTGGAGCCAAGACAGGAGTTTCGGGGAGTGAAGTGTCATCTCCTACACCAGAACAATTCACAGAGGGCAAAAAACACGATCCAAAGATAGAATCCGACAGTGGTAATAGCATCAGTGTTGCTAGCAGCCTGTCTGACCACCTTGCTTCTCAGGTCTTAGGTGAAGTAGACAATTTCTCCTGGGACTTACAGAGCTCTTGTGAATCTGAACATCCCACAAAGCACCTGCCTTCTTCCCAAAAACTGTTTTTGGAAGCTTTAAATATACAAGCACAAAGCTCCCCAGACAATCAGTCAGCTAGTGAGTGCTATTCAGAGGACCAGAAGTTCTATCAACATGTCCTCCATATGGTGAAGAAATCTAGGAGAACAGAATCAAGGGTACCCAAGTTTCTCAAGGGTCAGAAAGGCAGCAGCAAAGGGCCTGGTTCTGATCACACTGTAGAGTCTGATGTTGCTGGAGAAGGAAGTACAGAAACAGCAGTAGCAAAAGCAGCCGCTCTTGAAGAAGAGAGATTGAAGCCCTATGAGGGTCAGGCATGCATCCTTCAAGACAATCAGGCAGGGGAACAGCTGGTGCACAATACAGCTCTGATGGAGGAAGCCTGCAGGGTTGGGCTTCCAAAAGACGGAGATGGAATTGAAGAGGTAGGCAGCTGGCATTTATAATCTGTCTTTTCTCTGAGAAGACAGATTTCCCCCCACTATAAACTATTGTATTATCCCAATACTCTCAGGGCTGGTTAGGCCAAGAATGAATAACTGGTCCAAGATTCGGTAAGCCGAGAATTATTGTCTGGATTTGAACTCCAGCTTCCTACCTTATTGACTGGCTACTGAATACTTAAAGGAACAGGGAAGAGAGAATAGGAATATCCTCTATTGGATAACTTTAAGAAGGGAACTGTTTATATTATTAACTTGTTCAGAAATCATCTGGACTTAGAAGTGAGCAGTAAAGTTTTCAATAACTCCAAAAGAACCCACTTAAGCTTGGGGAACAGCTATTAAAATGGTAAATTTCTTTTAGCGTATGCAAGTACAAAGTGATGCCTGTTGGGAGAAAGCCCTATTCTAATTGCATACAGTGAGCAACCAGAGAAAGGATCTCAGGATCCTTTTGGGGAGCTTGGTGAAAAAAAGATTTCATATAAAATGATTGAAATAAAACTTGCAACATTGTTTGCCCTTTACAGTTTTATATGCTGTTATATTTGGTGGTGTGACTGCATGTGGAACTTTAAACTAACTTCAAAAAAGTAAAATTTGCAAAGATGTAGATTACAATTAAAATACTGGACAAGATTGGAGAGATGGTCAAGATAAAAGCTATATATATATAGTGTGGGAGAAGACTTGTTCCCTCTCTCGTAATATATAACACTATAATAGTCCTGCTGTATTGGATCAAAGTATTCCAACACTTAGTTTCTCACAATGCCCATCCAGATGTCCCCTTTTCCCTTCTCTGGTCCAGGCTTTTCAAGAGAGTCTTGTGTCCTGATTATGTGACATTGTGGCTTTCTCATCCAGTGCTCTTCACAGCTCCCTAAGAACAAATGGGAAGAGCTCTGTAGGACTAGCGTGTTCTCTTGAACAATGGTAAGGGATGTGATTGCAGATTGTACTGGCTTTGTGACTCCTTTCGCATTTTAATCCATTGATACTTTGATTGGTTTCCCTTTGATAGCCCAGCAGCTATGGAAAAAATACTTCAAAATCCAAAAATGAGGAGGAAAAAGAAGAAGCTTGTTTGCATTACTTGATATCTGATGTGACAGAAAAGAAAGAAGTCAGTGAGGTAGTATTTTTTTTTTCATCAAACACATCTGAGATATCTCTGAAGGGGATGTGTTTTTGTTCATAATGTATCCCAGAAGGCTCTTTGAAAAAGACTTTCCCAGTATTGCCTCTGTGAGCCTGGGAAATCAGCTCCCAAATGGCAGGGGAGGGGTGATGTATTCCTGTAAAATAAACTGGGCAAGAGTGCATTTAATGCTACGGGGACCACTTTCTAGTCCATCCTAAATGTGTTTTATGTGGTTCAACAACTATAGTTATTGTGAAATGCAGTAGTTGCCTGGTTTTGTGGTAGCCCTTTGTAGACAAGATAACAGAATCCTAAAATCATTGTGCTGCTTCTCAGAAGGTTTCCAAACCCAGTTCAAATTGCTCATTATCTTTAAAACTTAAATGGCGTAGCACCAGGAAGCACCAAGCAGCACCTTGACAGAACTGAATTGGCCCATCCAGGCAGGTCCTCAACACCCTAACCCGCAGGAAAGTTTGAACCAAGTTAATGAGGGTGGTTAATAAAGTTAGAAGGAACACTGAGCAACTAATCTGTTCGAAAATCCATCCATCTTTTAAAATGCAGGTTGACCAGGCTGAGAGCAGTATCTGTAACTCGAGGAGGCATTTCCCTGAATGCGTTCCAGTGGAGGAGAAAAGCCACTGGGTGGGAAGGCTTTCTCTGGGGTTCTTTTCATCTAGGATTCTGTGCTCAATGCTAGTTCTTCAATTACTTGCTTTTTTATCCCAAACCAAGTTGTTACCTTGAAATTACATCTTTGAACTCAGGACTCATTGGTTTCTGAAGAACTTATTCAAGAATGCAGTCCTAGAAATATCCTAGGCCACCTTGTCCCCATAATTTGTTTTCCTTTATGTTCTTCAACGACTTTGTGTTGGTTGTAGGTCACATAGGAAGACTAATGGTCTCTAGATAACTTTCCTTTTCCACATGCTTTTTTGTCTTCTGTGGCCTTTGGTTTCCAGAATCTTGTTCTAGAAAAAGTCCTGGATGTGGCTGAACTTCCTCCAGTCCTGAACAGTCCAAAATTTGGGGTGAACAGAGCCACCATTGAAAGTGCTTCGAAAGAGAAAGTAAGTTGTGTTTTTTTAACCAGTTAGCAATGCATCCAAAAACAGCTTCTCTTACCTATGACCTGAAATTTACACAAGACCTTTTGATAAGAAATGTCATCAAAGCCTTTTTCAAAGTCTGTGTATATGACATTACAGAGCTACTTCTGTTCGCATGTTTGTTGAACCTCAAAAATACTGGCTATTCGTTGAGGCAATATTTGCAGAGGAGTATAGAGAGAGCCTCGAAGGATGTGTGCAACAATGATTACAGAAACATCAGCTTTGCCCGGAAAGACAGGAGGGGCTGAAGAAGAAATTCAAGACTGCTCCACCTTGACTCTCTTGGGTATCAAGGGAGGGAAAAAGAAACTTGGTCAGACTTTCAAATTCTGATATTATATCCTCTAACAATAAAATGGAGCGCCAGGAACTCTATAGTGCAAGTTTTCAGACCTGGCCTACCTCAAAGGACAGTCAGGCATCCATACAGATTTTGTGGCATCCATACAGATTTTCTTTCCACCAGGCTTCTTCATTATGCTTGTTTATTTCTGCCAGTTTCTCAAGAACAGACATTAAGCTAATTTTCTGCATCTTCTTGGGTCCTTTCTTAAAAATCAATGCCACACTTGCTACTTCTAGCGCTGCGCCCAATTTGAGGGATTACATGTTTTTTCTAAGAAGTCAGCAAGTCCTCAATTGAACTATTTTAAGATCTGTGGGATAGATACCATGAGGACTCAATGATTTGTTATTTGTAATGTCTTCGAATAATCTAGAGTACCTTGTCATCTCAATTTGCTCAACAATTCTGGTTCTTCCCTGTGAAAATCAATCCAAGGCCTATCCATTCAATAGCAAAGAGAGACAGAAAGCCTAACTAGGTTTCTTACTAATCTCTGTATTTTCCTTAAGCATTTCTTTTGCTCCTTTGTTGCCTATGGCCCAACTGCAGTTTCCTGTTTCAAATATATATTTAAAAGTTTAACGTTTAACATTTCTTCCCATGTGCACTACTGAAATTCTTTTTGCATTCCATACACTTTTTATGCTCCATTCTGTTCTCCTCCTTAGGGCAAACATTCTTAAAGGGCCCCTTCAGAAGTTTTAAAACTTCCTGAACATGACTAAAGAGCCATGCCAACTCTTCTGGACTCAGCATTCTTGCTGAGTGTCAGTTATTTTAAATATCCTCCAGACCTTGTTGAGCGATTTGGTCCTCTTGACTTTTTCTTTCAATCTTTTCCATCAGTTCCCTTATTTTTCATTCTCTTTTGCAGTACAGTGTGAAGTATTGCACACTCCTTGCAATTTTGCACACACATAATGGTGTTATGATGACTATTTCCTGTTGGTTCCAAACTACATAAAATCTTGCATTGTATCGTGCTGTCACAGTTAAATCTAGAAATCTCTTGTCCAGATTGGATCTGTGATATTCATCATCTTTTCACTGAAATATGTTGTGGCGAAGCTTCTACCTTTCCTTTCTCTTGCAGGACAAAAACTGTTTGGTGCAGGAGAAAAACAAGGACAAAGGCAGCTTGGGAGAGGAGAAAAATAGTGGATCTGCTGTGGCAGAAGAGAGGTATAGAACCCAAATGCTTTGTGGAAAGCACGGCTGTTGCACATCCATCCCCCAAGACTTGGCTTTCTTCAGGGCTCTTGCTTCTTTTAATTCCACTCTGTCTCCACTTGTTTCCCACCCTCCTTCTGGCAGCACTGTCTGCGAGTAGTTGGGTATAATGGATTGTCACTCGGAGCCAGTTATTTGGTTGGTATTGAGAGTTACCAATTTTTCATAGGTTGGCATTATGGATTTAAAGGCCAACAACATTGTCTTGGGCTGCTGGAAGCCCCAAATGAAGATCAGCCTGTGACCAGGTCACTAAGAGTACGCTGTCTCTGAAAATAACAGCAGCTTCTGCGCACTGACTTGCATGAATGCATTTAAGAGTAGAACAGAGGCTGTAGCAATGCTGTGCATTTGATTTATTTACTGATTCATCATTATGGTACTGATGCCTCTCACTAGTTTACAGTAAAAAACAAAAAACAAAAAAAAACTTAAAGCCAAATATGTATATATAAAATTCAAATAATTATTAACAGTTTGCTCAAAATAGGCATTTTAAACATTTTTAAAAAATTCTAATAAAACAGGTAGGTTCCTTCAACTTAGAAAGGAGATCATATCAGGGACCAGGATAAGCTGCTAAAAAGGCTTAATTCTTGAGTCCCTGCATAGCAAGGTGCAGTATCTGTAGGAAAAGCTTTTTTTAATGAACTCAGTAGGATGAAATGTGACTCTAGAAAAAAAGTGGCATCTTGAGTGCCTTTTAGAGTCTTACAGTGATAAACAGGTAATAACCAGTGTCTGGAATTTCTCCAAGAGTAATATTTTTTTTAGTATAAATGAAATACACCTTTTTTGACTTTTTCCAGAGACCAGTTGGCTGCCGAATTCTGCAGTAATTAAATTTTCTAGACTAATTGCAAAAGCGTCCCGCAAATAACGATTTTGATGCTTCTAAGGTGTACCTGTAAACTTTAAACAACCCAGGAAAACAAAATAAACTTATTAACAAAAAGCCATTTATATTATACCATGTTAGCCACTTACCCCCATGGTGCTGATATCCAGAATCCAGATTATTAGGAAAATTAAACTATACAAGATACATTGCATTTAAAGGTATTAAGACCATTCATAGAATGTGATACTGTTATCTGATCCTGATATTGTGGTAAACCATTATTTTGTAAAGAGAAAGTACATATAAAACTAAGCATCTAGGGAGGTAAATTCCCTTCCTCGACTCTAAGGATTTAGAAAAGAAAAGCCATTTTACACTAATGCTACTTAATGGGGAAAGTTACAGCCAAGTATGTTATATTGAGATGAACAATTGATTAAAGGCTTTCTGAGCCTTGCATATTTTGATTCTCTGGGTCTCCTGTTTGAGAAGCTGGAGATGTAAAGAAGTGACCTTAATGCAAGTGATAAAAGCATAAGATTAAAGCACATTAGATTAAAACGATTGTTCAGGCTGTGTGAGCTGGAAGCAACCCGAGGATATCAGAATTGAATGAATTGTGTTACTGGGTGGTAAAGAATTGTCCTAAGTAGGCTTCCATTTGCTAGTGGGTCCTTTTTCTGCATCAGGTCTTTTTAGGCTTCTGTATTCAACCCTGATCCATTTCAAGTAATAATTGGTGTGAACTTGTTTCTCTTAATAGGCAGTTTGAGATTGAAATAAAGCCATGGAATATCCATACTGGGGGGTCACTGGAGAAAATAACCAAAGTGGAAGAAACGAACATTTATTTGCTAGAAGAAAAACAGATACATGTTCAGAATTTGCAGGAAGAACTGCAACTGCGAGAAGGAGAGGAGATCCAAATATTACATCAGCAGAAAGAGTCTGCCCTCCTGTGAGTGTCTTTGCACCTATACAATAGATACTTGGCTTTCCTTCCTGTCTTCTCCCCCCACCCCCAGCCATTAAATGCCAGTAGTTCTCATCTTTGGTCACTTAGATTAAGGGTGCAAGTATGAAGTCTTGGTGTTTTAAGATTTTTTACTGCAAGGAGGCAAGGAGTATTTGTTGCAACACTGAGATCCAAACTCCCAAGAGAAAATATAAAAGAAGCTACTTAATTAGAAACTTTTAGGAAAAGCTCATCCATTAAAAGAATAATTGGCTGTCTTTATGTAACTTTGTCTGATCAATACAAAGATATTTGACACATCCATTGGGCTTCTCATAACTTGTGGATTGGGTTGATATGATTTGTGTTCTGTGTAGGACTCTGGTGTTGCCTGATATTTTGGTGATTCTTCTCCTTCCATTTTTTTCTATTCCTGCATTGTGATTGTATGCATCTTTTCTCTCTTAACCAGAATAGCTTATAACGTAGTAAGTTTCAAACATGAAAGAATAACATAAGTTATTCCCATGAGAGCAGCCTGAGAGATGCAGTAGAGCTACAGTGAAGTCACTAAGTGATCTCTGTGAACGTGTGAAGACTGAACCTCCTTCTACTGGGTTTCTATATAATACTCTCAGTGTTATACTACATTGACTGTCACCAATGATTAAAATACAGACTGTCAGGACTGGAAAGGATTTGGTAGAACCAACCCTCTGCATAGGTCAGAAATTCATTACTTCAGCCTCCTTGACAGATTGCCATGTAGCCTTTGTTTAAAGGCTTCCAGAGAAGATTCTGCTGTGCAGGTTCTGAGATTTTGCTTGATAAAAAAATACAGGAAACCAGAAGTTGCCTTTAAGCTATACATTTTTATTCAGCTGAACAAAGACAGGCTCCTCTAAAAGAGAGAAACCTCAAATGACAAGAAATCCTTGTATTTATTCTTTCTGATTACATAAGCAATCCACCCAACAAAGCTGACACACATAATATAAAGATTTCACCCAGTAAGTCTGGCATACTGTAGATAAGAAAGGAGGAAGCAGAAGTAGCTAAAAATGTTCCCTTTTGGGTGTTTCCCTAAAGACATCGTATGTTCCCTGGTGAGTTAGGACATTGGGTGTTTTCCTTGTTGTCCTTTCATGACCCTGCATCCATGACTCTGCAAGTGCCCAAAGACAGCAGGGCCATTTGCTCATATTCACAACTGATACTTCCTATGCTGTCTCCTAATTCCGAGTCAACAATTCCACCTCTTCCCAAGACAGTCTGTTTGCTCCATTTTCTCTCCCATTCTTCTGATGTTCAACCAAACCTTGTTCCCATTGTTTTTCATTCCATCTTTTGGAACTTTGAAAAATTCTGCCTGTCTTCTACATCAGCTCTTCACAGTTTTCTCTTCTCCATGGTAAACATCCAGCATCTCTATTCCTCAAACCTTTTTTCTTTCCCAGTTCTTTATCATTTGGGTTGCATATCTCTCAATTCATTCCAATAGATCATATCTCAGAGTCCTCCTTAAAACATGCTGGCTAAAACTAGACTCATATTCTAGGTGCAGTCTGATCAGTGTATAGTCACTGCCCTGTGGTTAGTCAATGACCACACAGGCCAGGCATATATCCTCTGAAGGAAACAGTCTCTAAGATAACTGGAATCAGGCCCTCTAAGGATTTATAGACTAAAACTTGCATTTTGAATTGCATTCCAAAACTGATTGGTAAGACTAATGTTATTAAAGGAGTCCCCCCTGCTAGCAGCCTCCTGCATTTTAGACCAACTATAGTTTCTGAGTAGTCTTCAAAGCATATTGTAGTCATCCAACCTTAATGTGATGAAACTACGTGTTGCTGTTTCTCTCAAAGATGGCCCACAACTAGTGCATCACCTGCAGCTGGGCAAAAGCTCCCCAACCATGGAGTTCAGCTGCTGGTCAAGAGAGAACTGTAAGTCTAGGAGACTGCTTAAGCAGTCACCTTGCTTCTTCAGGGGCATGCAATCCCATGCTGATACTAACTCAGAATAATCAGGAAGCTAGATAACTTCTGAATGAGCACTAGCATTTCTTGTTGAGATTCAATTGTTTTATCCTATCCAATTTATCGCATCTTCCAAGTGCCAGGTGAAGATGTCTGCAGCATCTCTCATTACAGTTGGTTTTCATTAGCATATTGTTGATAGTTCACTTAAACTAACAAAATCTCGCCACATTTTTAAATGTAAAACTACACAGCTGACTCCAATGTCTTGAGATGGGAAAGTGTAGAGAGTTTTTGACTAAAATATAACCCACATAGGCATGAGAAAGAGTGCAGGGATTCACCAAGCTGTGGGATGGGGGAGACATCCCAATCAATCCATTGTCTGATTAGTTTAGCGATAACTGTAAACAGAAAAAGGGGAAGGATGAGAAGACAGCAAGAAGATGAAAGTTCAAAGTGGTTTCTGGGACAAGGATGTGGAAGGAAAACCTAAGAAATGTTGAGTCAGAATAACATGGCATGCCTTTTGTTGGGAGTGAACTTGCATATTACTAGGAGAAACATGACTTCTGTATCAAAAAGCATCCAGAAAAGTCTAAGTGCCACTTAGAACAGATTGGAATTGACTTCAGGAGCAGCAGCATATTAAAACTATGGCTTTCCACTTTTTCTTGTGCTGTTTTTATTGCTTCTTGACATGGTTGAATGACTAATCAATAAACAAATTGAATTAGAAGGGAAAGGACAGATGAGATTGGAAGGTTCCTCAGAGACTTTGGGTTGTAAAGATTAGAATATCACATGCAAAAATGTCACAACTTACTTTGCACGGTTGATTCTACATTCTGTTTTCAAGGAATGTTGCCAGGGCTGACCCCAAAATACATGCAAGATGGACTTTTAAAATCTTTCTCTAGAGCCATATTGACTTTACTCATTCACATCTTCCTTGCTTAGAACTCATGCTGTTCGCTTTTACTGTAAATTGCTGAAGGTTTCTACAGACTTTAGTGGTGGTGTTCTTTTTGTTTTTAGGAGCTAGTTTCACATGCCAAATTACTATCTGCTTATCTGTTAGGTCACTGAAAACTGAGTTGGAGACAACTAGGCGGGAAGAAGAGACACGGTTGAGGGAAGAGGTCAGAGTGGAACTTCTAAAACATCAAACTGAGATGCGTTCTGAGTTGAATGCAGAGAAGGAAAAGATCAGGTACCAGATTGCATTTAAGTCTGCCCGATGTGTGCATTCTCCCTAGTTTTGAATGTTTGTGGATGGGAAACGTCTTGGGTGAGGCTGCTTTTTATGTCAGACAAGAGCATTTGGACATGGGTAAGATAGGATTGATTTTGCAGTTTCATCTCACTTAAGCAGCAAAATTCAATAATTATGTATTTATTTTTTTAAATTATATATATGGACACCCACTTCATGGCTTTATACTTTTTATACACTTAGTACCTTATAAAAGGTGTCAGTGTTGGGGCCATACAGAATCCCAGAAGGATGTTGTGTCACAGGCAGGTGCTGCAACAAAGAAGGCAAGACTCCAGGCCCAGCAAGATCAGACTCTTTAACAAAAGGGACCCAAAGCAGCTCTCTCTGCTAGTTCTGGTAGGGCAAGCAGGAACAGTCCGGCAGTACCACTGATAACTTGGCCCTGTGCTAGGTAGGCCTGTATAGTTGATTACTGGCACCTTGAATTACACCCTGCTGACTGATGGTATTTCCCTGATCAACCTTCCCTGCCAACTGCTAGTTGTCCTTGGTCTCTGGCCTTGTGCTCTGTGTACACCTTCCTCTACTAGTTGATGCTGGAGGTTCCTTGGGAAACTCAGCGGACGAGTTGTGAGGCTTTCTCCCTGAAACTCTGTACAACTGGAAGAGCTCATAGCTGTACATGACTTGGTCCCAGAGGTCTGTTATAAAATCCTCTCCCCTCTACAGAAGCTCTCCCACCATCACCAAGAAGAAGAAAAATAATGTTGCTGAAAATTTTGGCAACTTTGCATGCTATTTTCTGGTGACAGAATTCTAGATTCTCTGCCCATGAATTCCAATTTGCGGTTTCCTTGGCCCTATGATCACCCTGGTCAAAATGTTGATGCAAGGCAGGGTTTCTGTGACCAAGGCATCCCAAGGAGCTCGGCTTGCTGCCTGCAAAGGCTGTCTGGAGAAAGCTTAGAAAAGCCTTCTTGCTTATCTCTCTGTCGCTTCCTTCTAGGCTGGCACAGGAAACTGCATTGACCCGGCTGAAAGAGGAGCTAGAGTCCTTTCAGCAACAGGAGAGAGAAAAGCTCGAAGAGCACAAGTGGCTTTCTCTGGAACGGATAAAAAAAGAGGCTGAAATGGCTGAGCAGGCTGAACAGATGGTGCTGGAGCAGGAAAACCAGAGGGCCTTGAATGAACTGAGGGAGAAGTTGTGCAGAGAAAAGGAACTGGTGAGGAGCTTTGGGTTGCAGATTCAGAATGCACCCCTCCCAGGTGCTGGGCAACAAGAAGAAGCTCCCTGGGGTAAGATTGGAGCTGCCTGGGAACAGTGTTCCATTGGGACATGTGGACCCTGTGAAAACTGTCACATTACAGGGTCTCAGAAGGGGGAATCATTCTCGGAAAATGTGTCCATGAAGAAATTAATTCAGTGAGCTGATACTCATCAGGTCAAACTCCTTCAGAAAGTTTAGCAGTGATAGAAAAGCAGTCTCTTACAGCATTAGAAGTTTGGGCCACGACGGGCAAATCCACGTTCAGGTGTGGATGGAACATTGGATGGAACTTGCTGCATGATATTGGGCGAGTTCTGTCTAGTTCTGGTTTTACTATTATTGCAAAAAGAATTTGGCTGTCAGTGCAAAACCAATTTCCCATCCCTGCTTGTAACCGTGAAGGAAAATTAAGGAGATATATTCAACAGGTAGATTGGGACACAAGTCAGGAAGACATTTGTGGACCACTGGTCATACAAAACAACTGTGAAAATATTTATGGAGATAGATCAGGGATATCTGCCTGTCTCCAAATTTGAAAGCTATAAATGGACTTAGTTACAAGCTGCCTCCTTGATCCTTCGGCAGGCTCTCCAGGGACTGCAGGATCAACTGGCAGCAGAGATCCAGCAACAGAAAACGGCAGCAGCAGAAGAGCACCAGAAGGTGAGACATATATGTCAGAAGGGGCGGAGCAAGATATGTGCAGCTGCATTGGGGTCTCCAATTTTCATCCCAGTTTCACAAACTGAGCAGGTACTTCCTTCATGCTGTTTCTGCCATGCAGAACCTCATCTGGATTTTTAAGATCTGTAGAAGAGTTCTGAGGCCCAGAGACCACTGAGGCTGTCTCTCAGATTTTCCTTTATTTGATGGCCGTGTTTTTTTGTTTTTTGTTTTTGCTATGCTTATTTTCTGAGGTACTGGCAACTGTATAAATCTCTCCCCCCGTCCTAATTTGTACATTTACACTGTGTCTCTTATGTCTGCCTAGTATTTGGCCTGTCTGTCAGGAGGACTGTGGGATTTTTAGTATCAGACAGGCAAAACATAGGATGCTAAGACATTCTTGTCAAGCAGATCAGCTCTTTTCTTTCAATCCTAATATATCAAGATAGGAAAGTATGGATTTCCCTGCATGTGGCTTTTATAGACAGAAACAGCAAGGAAATATGCAAGCCAGGCTTAAACTTGAGTATACTGTTGGGAATGGGGAGACACCCTGTGCAAACTCTTTTGGAATTTCATAAGTTCTTCATGCAGACACAGAGGCTTATTTCTGTAAACACAGACTTAAATACTTAATGAACTATGGTTAGCTTAAGAAAAGCAAATGGTCTTACCTACTAGCTAGGAAAAATCTCTAGTGGGTTGCACACCATGCAGGTTGGCTGGAGATCCCTGAAGGCTCCTGCTTTGTCTCCTGGCCAGGTTATTCTGGCCCTCCGGATGGAAATAATGGAGGCTCAGAGAAGAGAGGAAGCAGAACTTCAGAAAGAGCTCAAGAGTGTGGAGCAAAAGGTTCAGCAGAAGAGACATCAAGCAGCAGAGTATGAGCGAGAGGTAACAAGGAAACGCCATACTTCTTACAACGTGATCTCTAATGTGCAGGATCAAGTCTGCACATTAGTGCAGGATCTGTTGCTTAGTTAGACTGTTATGTTCCCTTCTCAGTGTATTTGTTTATTTATTTATAAAATTTATTGGACACCATCTTACCACAGGATAACTCTGGGCGGCTCACTGTCCTAAAAAAAATGGATTTATACATGTACATTTGAACACAAATAAACTAAAATCAAAAGTTAAAATCTAAGGACACATGGGTAGGGTGGGGGCAGAGTGGAGGGAGATTGGACAGTTGTTACTTGATCAACCACTTCCACTGTGCTGTTGCCTGTTGGGGCCCAGGCCAACTGGCAGAGCCCTTACAAAAGGTTAGGAAGGTTGGGGCCAACTTCACATGGGGGGAGGGCCACGATATTCCAGAGGGCAGGAGCCACAGCAGAGAAGGCCCTCCTCCTGCACCCCACCAGCCAGAATAATTGGGCCTTCCTCTGCCGGCACGCGTGGGACAGGCCAATCCTGATGGACTGACAGGGTCCCTCAAGTAGCCTGGACCCATGCGATGAAGGGCTTTAAAGATGATCAGCAACACCTTGAATTGCATCAGGAAGCAGATTTGCAGCCAATGCAGCTCGCATTGGTGTTACAGAGCCCATTCTTGGGCACCCCAAAACTGCCTGCGCCACCGCACTCTGCACCTTCTGTAGCTTCCAGATGCCTTGTGAAGAAGTTAGGCCCTCAGTTAGATCCTTAAAGGCAGGAGAGCAAGTGCACTGGCATAAGAAGGCTTCTAGAGTGGGCAACCTTGTTAAGGGCCCATCACTTCTGTTGCATTAAAAGGGAAAGACAAGTCCAGTTAAAGCCCATGGGGATCCTTTCATCGGAAATACCTCAGGGCTACAAGGGGTGTCTCCAGTCAGCCACTGATTCTCTCTTAGACTCTGAGGCTGTTGACAAAGCAAGAAAAGACGGTGTAGAGAGTAGGGGATAGGAATACATAAGAACTATTACCTAGGTAAGGGGAACTGCAACATTATTTAAGTTTGGGAAATAAGAAAATATTAGGAATTGGCTCAGGCAACCCCTTCCCCAATTCCTTGGAATAGAGGAAGGGACATATACCACAGTGAGATTTGTAAGGTTATGATCGCCAATCTCAATCAAGCGCCATCCTGGTCTTCCTGTAGAGCTGATTTTCTGTTCTAGCCTACCTGGTAGCCAGCTCCCTGAAGCCCCAGAATGCCCCAGGTTCTTTCTTGAAGAGCTGGGTGGAGGCAGGTGGTTCATTATAGATACAAGGGCAGCCATTTAGAACTCAGTTGCCAGACTCTCACAACACATTAGACTACCTGTGCCAGCACAAAGGTCACAGTAGCTGTGCTATTCTTTACTGCAGCTTTGCAGCATTTTTTGTTGTCATTGTGTGATGATGGTGGGAATAACAGCAGTTTAATCTGGATGCCTTTATCCCAACCGTAGCTCAGTGATCTTCTGAAAGAGAAGCGTCAAGAGGTTGAGCAAGAACATGCTAGAGAGTTGGAAAAAATGCAGAAGATACACCAGGAGACTCTAGTTAGGATTCAGATGCAACATGAGGACAAGGTAAGGTTACTAATAAGTTGGATGCAAAAGCTCCAATAGGCTTATAGCTGTTTTACTCACAGCATCCGAGGGAGAGATGGAGCTAGCTTGTAAACATCTTTTATATATTTATCTGACTGTCTATCAGACTTTTATGCCACTGTATTCTATTAAAGACTCTTAGCTGTTAACAACAGAACATCCAAAATAACATCCGTGCTAAGTAATAATAAAGTTCAGCATAAGACATCCACAGTAATTTTTGTTAATATCAACTGTGTGCAAGCTAATAGATAGTGGTTTAGTGCTTAAGGCACCAGGTCAGAAAGTGGGAAACTTGAGTTCAGGTCATACCTTAGCCATGAAGTTCACATAGATGGCTTTGAGCCAGTCCCTCCCTCTCAGCCCAGCCCACTTCACAGGGTTGATGTTTGGGGGAAAGAGGAGGAGGAAGTTGTGCTGGATATGTTCGCTGCCTTGATTTATTTATAAAAATAATAAAGGCAGGATACAAATATTTACATACATACATTTTTTCATATTTTTGTGGCTGCCTACCTCACAAAACCTGGGCAGCATACCATTAAGAAACCCATAAAATAATTGTATTAATTATATTCTACAATTATTAAAAAGGTAGGAGAGATGATACATACTACAAATAAGTAGCCATTTCATTAAATCACCATTTCCCTGTTGACAGCCAAGTTTTATAGGGCTTTTGAAGGATATCAAGATAACTCCATAGATAAAGTTAAAGAAAAGGAATTTACCTCTGAAGGGAGCTGTCAGGTGAGCTGCAACTGAAAATTAGTGTTTTGGGTTCAGCCCTCTGCATCTCCTTAGAAAGGGAAATTCCGAGCCATTTCTCTTAGGAAGAATCTATTGATTTGGGCTGGAGGAAACACCTTCCTGATAGTCGGTGCCAAGCTTACTTCTGGTCTGCCCCCGCATCTTGTACCATCTGCCCCTTCTGGTGGTCTTCAAAAATGGCTTTACGCAGGCCATATTGCAGCAGTCCAGGTGGGTGGTGATAAAGTCTGAGTTACTGTTTCCCTCCCTCGTGTTGAGTCATGTCAACTCTTATACCTGGCAGGAGAAGAAGCAGAAGGCCGAGCTGCTTGCAAGGCTACAGGAGGAGCTGGGGCGCATCAAGGCCCAGCAAGAAGCTTTGCAAAAGACACATGTGGAGAAGCTAAAGGAGCTGCGCCAGAAGCACCAGGAGCAGGTAGGGAAAATGGTGAGGGGGTGAGCCTTTGGAGGGCAAAAGAGGTAGACCCTGGCAGTGCTTCTTCAAGAGCTTGAGGGTGCCTCTCTGGCTGTAACTCCCACCTCCTTGGACCTCCTCTTGAATTTCCCATGGCTAGAAGGGGAGGGTTCCCTTCTTGCTCTGACACCCCATTCTTCTTTCCTCAATCCTCGTGATGTGGCTGTCCTCTTGGTCTGGGTCTTGACAGAGAGGTCGCATCTCCTAAGGCTTTCTTCCTAAAGGAGAAGGCAGCCCAGGGTGCAGAACTGGAGCTGGAGCTCCAAGCTAAAGATGCCCAGACAAAAGCAGCTCAACTCTCTGCCCAGGTGAGCACACACATGCACAGCTGTGTAGCTCATTGCACCAGTGGTGAAGAACGGAACATGGCCCCTTGGACTCTTAGCTGAAGATAACACAGATCTCCATGGGTATCTTTTGGGAGGACAGATGACGTTTTCTTTCTGGAAAACCTCCATCATCTGAATGCCTTTTCCACTATTTTCTGTTGGCTTATCAGTCTCTCCTCTAGAGGAAGAACATTGGCACAGCTTTGACGTAGAATTTCCTGCATAGAGCCTGAGATGAAACTTAAGCAGCTCTTGATCCTTATAAGGTTTTGCTGTCCTCAGTCTTTGGTGCCCTGAATTGTCCAAGGGGTGCTTTGAGTGGTGGGATTCAGCCGGTTCCCACCAGTTTGGCAGAACTGATATCTAATTTTTTGTTGAGTTCAGCGAACTGGTTATGATAAATCTACACAAGCCTCCCCTGCCGCCTCCCTCCGCCAGCCCTGGTATCCCTCCGCCAGCCCTCCATTGCTGCCATTGCACTTTCTTGCGCACATTTCCTTGCTGCCCTGCATCGGCGGGTGTCTCCCTTCTCCATTCTGGAAGTGGCAGCCCCGTTTTCTGCCGCTTTCCTCCTGGCAGAAGGGAGGAAAGGAAGGACACTTCGTATGGAAGGACGCTAAGCTCCGGGAAAACTACTCCAGCTGGAGAAAGAAGGCCAGGCTCCCCTTCCCTGATGGCTCTGCAAAGCCCTTGAGAAGCGGATTCGCTTCCCTCAGGTTCAGCCTCGGCATCCACCCATTTCGGATTGCAAAACAGAAGAGCTTTGCTCTTTTGATACAGGAGGCCTTTTGAAATTGTCCCCCCCCCCATCGCTTTTCTGCCTTAAAATCCAGAGCAGGCACTTTTTCCTCCTGATCAGCTGAGGATACGATAGCTACCGGTATGATTTTTGTAGGAAGCTGAGTGTCTGCTCTGGATTTTAAGGCAGAAAAGCGAAGCAGAGAGGACAATTTCAAAGGGCCTCCTGGAGAAAAAGAGCAAAGCTCTTCTGTTTGCTGTCCAAAGTGGGTGCCAAGGCCGAACCTGCAGGAAGTGGATCCGTTTCTCAAGGGCTTTGCAGAGCCATCAGGGAAGGGGAGCCTGGCCTTCTTTCTCCAGCTGGAGTATTTTCCCGGAGCTTAGCGTCCTTCCATATGAAGCATCCTTCCTTTCCTCCCTTCTGCTGGGAAGAAAGCGACAGAAAATGGGGCTGCCACTTCCAGAACGGAGAAGGGTGACACCGGTCGATGCAGGGCAGCAAGAAAGTGCGGACCAGCAGAAGGAAGGAAGGAGGGAAGGAAGGAAGGAAGGAAGGAAGGAAGGGAGGGAGGGAGGAAAGGAAGGAAGGAAGGAAGGAAAAGGAAGGAAGGAAAGGAAGGAAGGAAGGAAGGAAGGAAGGAAGGAAGGAAGGAAGGAAGGAAGGAAGGAAGGAAGGGAGAGAGGGAGGGAGGAAAGGAAGGAAGGAAGGAAGGAAGGAAGGAAGGAAGGAAGGAAAAGGAAGGAAGGAAGGAAGGAAAGGAAGGAAGGAAGGAAGGAAGGAAGGAAGGAAGGAAGGAAGGAAGGAAGGAAGACACCCGGGGAAGCAAAGGAAGCTACCGTAAGCCGCCCTTCTCCCTTTCTCTCTTTCTTGGCTGGGAAGAAGGTAGCCCACATGGGCTGCTGCTTCATGCAAGCAGGTGCTTGATGGCGGCGATGGAAGGCTGGTGGAGGGATACCAAGGCTGGCAGAGGGAGCCGGCAGGGGAGGCTTGTGCCCCCTGGTCATGACGCAAGCCACGGGAGAGTTGGCGGAGGAGAAGGAGGTGGCAGTGATCTGTGGGGCAAAGCAAGGGTGGCAGGGACGGCAGGAACCGAAGAAAGCCCCTCCAGCAGCAGACATGGCTGTTGCACACCAGTGGCAGAGCCTTTCACCATCACTCCCCCCAGACTCCAAAATGGTGGAGGGGGACTGGGTAAGGTCCATCCTCCATATCATGGCAGTCTGGCTCGGGAGGGGAGTGAAAGGAAAGAGGCGGGTGGGCAGCCAGGTCATTGAACCGGCAGGGGGAGGTCACCAAGCGGGGAGTGGCCTGGGTGCGAGGACCCTGAAGTAAGCAGGTGCCGGGCATATGGGGCAGCTCCCCCCCGCCCTAGCTTGGTTTTTAGGCGTGCACCTCTTAAAGGGTTCTGTGATTTCAGAGAGAACTGGTTGTTAAATTATTTGAATCACACTACTGGGCACTCCAGGCCAATCAGTGCTCTGGAACATACATGTAGGGCTGGCAGCGGGTCCGGTTTTTTAGCCCCCGTAAACCTTTGTCCCTAGGGAGGAATTTTGTGGTCTTCCCAGCTTACTTAGATTATTTCTCGTTTATGTGTAGGAGGAGGCCTGGAAGAAGAAAAGGCAGCAGGTCCTAGAAGAAGAGAAGCAGCTGGAAGAAGAAAGAAATGTATGCACTGGCAGCTCTTGCAATGAGCTAGGAATCTCTTTTTCCATAGGATGAGATAAGGGAAGTCTTGCCCTGCAGTTAATGCAAATGGCCAAAGGGAGGGAGGCAATAGGGAGGCAGAAGCAGCACAGTTCTAGGTACAGGTTTCCGTCTCTTGACTCTAAGCCGGTCTTCTTTACCTGAGGGCTACCTTAAGGCTGATAATTAGGAGATGCTGTTGTTCTCCAACTAGCAGTAGAGTCTTCTCTGGTGGTCGTTTTCTAAAGTTGCAGGCAAGAGCTTTTGCCCAGAAAATTGCCCAGAACGGATTTTTGGCCTGGAGCAAGTTAATGGGGCTGTTTCTCTAGACATGAGTGGGAAGGCAGTAGTAGAATCGAAACAAGCTGGCAGGATTAGTTGCCCTTTTGCACTGCTGCAGTTGAGTATTTGCTCATCTATCTGTGGCCAAGGATGCACCAACCTTACCAAAAAGCTTTGCAGGTCAACTGGATATTTAAAGTTGTATCTGCTAGACTCTCCCTCTTCCTCCCCCCTTATTTTTTTTTTCCAGGAAGCTGCTTTGGCAGCTCATTCCCGCCTTGAGGAGTGTCAAAAAGCACAGGAGAATCTTGAAGATACCTTACAGCAGCTGCACAGAGCTCTGGCGGAACTCCAGGATCAGAAAACAAAGTTGGAGTCTCAGGTGGAATTGCTTCAGATACAGGGCCAACAGCTTGAGAGGTGTACCAGGTGAGATGTTCTTCATTAGACAAGCAGGAATGGACCAGGCATTATGTGGTAATAAGCCATGTGACACGTACATATAGAGCTATGCCAGTGACTGGTGGAGAATCTGACCTGGAGGTGTCCACTGTGTTTCAGGCCCTTGTGCCACCGTGCTTTGAATTCAGCAATGTTTCTCAACTTTCACTTTCCAAATGTTGAACAAGAATTGGCCACTACCCAAAGGAGAGAGCCAGAAGTTCAGAGGTAGATCCTGGGTGGCATCTGACTTTTTCCTTGGCACTTTCAGTGACTTGCAGAAGACCATCAGGACCAAGCAAGAGCTGCTAAAGAAACTGGATAAAGAATGGAGTGAAGCAACTTCTCCAAGGGAAAAGGAAGAAGCGCTCCGAGTGGAAGACCTACAAGGGGACTATCCAGAGGTCAGTGGAAGCAGGGTCAGAGGTGAAGGGAACCAGATAGAAGGGGAACATTCTGCTCCATAAAATGAACTTTTAGTGGCATAGATCAACCTGGACTTTACAGTGAGAATATAGATCAAGAAAAGCAATATATATTATAGCATGTCATTCTAATAGTTTCTTGACAGCATTCTTGTTAAATGCCTTACAGTTCTGCCTATAAAAGGAAACAGCTAATATTGAAGGGATGGTGAGGAATGGGAAAGACAAAACCTTTTGTGAGGGATGCCACCCTAACCAGTCGCTACACTGGAGAAGAGACTCCCACAGTCACTTCCTCCACCTTCTTGAAAGTGGGGTGGGTGGGTGGGGGAGTGCTTCAAATATGGCTTGAACTGCAGGGTATATCTTATGAAAATGGACTTCTGGGGCTGGAGAAGAGAGGTCTGGGGAGGCCGAAATTTGGGAAAGGCCCTGGTGTGCGGGGACTGGAGTACCTAAAGAAGCACGCTTTATTGAAAATGTGTGGGATTCCCCCTTGGCTCTTTGGTCGTGGAACTGTGAAAACCAACCCCCTGCTGCCGAAAAGAGAGGCCTTCACTGTTACCATCTGGAAGAAACAAATCACTGTCTGTCTGATTCCATATGGATCAGATATTCCAGATATTGATGTAAGCAGGAGGAAGATCCTCTGGCTGAGAAGAGATGGGAAATAATATTGCCTACTTAATACTCCACTGCTTTGACTTAAGCTCCCTCCATTAAGGAACCACACCATATATTTGTTCTTGATGTTTCCGCTTCATTTGCCATTACTTAACTTTAAAAATGTTTAATCCTTAAGCCTTCCTCCAGAGAAATGACATCTGAAATACCAAAAAGCAATGAAGAAAACGGCCTTCTCCTGAACCAGTAAGTGTGTGGGGGGAAAGATACCCTGAAATAACTATACGTGTGGTATCTGTGACTATAGGGACAGGAGAGAGGGGAGCGGCTATTAGGCCTCTTTTAAGCAGCAAATCTTGCTCAGATTTTTTTTTTCTTCCTGTTCTTACAGAGTACGACACTACATTTCCACTGAGGGAGCCTCCCTGAAGACAGCAAAGGAATTCTTGGTGTGCCAGACTCGTTCCATGAGAAAAAGGCAGACGGCCTTGAGAGCAGCAAAGCAGCATTGGTATGGTGGTCTCCAGGGAACACCAGCTGTGCAAGACTCAGTCCATTCTCAGGTGTTAGAGGGAGTGCACAGGAACCTGGAAGAGGTGAGTGGTGAGTTAGACAAAGCAAGGCGGTTCTTGAAACCATCAGCCTGGGCTGAACTTTGGAACAACTCACCCTGGCGATGCTAACTTTATTTGGTGCCTGCAGAAAAAGGGATTGAGAAAGAGGGGGAAGGGGCAGGTAGTGGTAGAAAGCTTCCTTTGGGGTTGAGAATACCATCGAAGGGGAAACCACCTGGCTTGCTTTGGACTGTGCCTTGCTGCAGTTTGGCAGCTGGACAAGTGGCCGTGCAGTGAGGAAGGGCTGCCCCTTCTGCCTTTGCAATGAGTCACACTGCAAACCACTTGGGGGGGGGGAGAGGATTGAGCAGGTGGCCCCTTCCTTTCCCACAATGCTTGCATCCCTGCAAGCAGCAGCTCACAGATGAGGAGACACTGTTATTAAGAAGACTTTAACATTGGATAACAGTGGCAGCACACATTTAAATCGGTCTTAACAAAAGTTCCTCGTTTATTGGCTTCTGTTACCGCAGTATGACTTTCTTTCCCCCTAGGAAGGGAGGCAGCTAGATGAAATGAAATCTGCCATGCGGAAAGGGAAGGAACTCCTGAAGAAGAAAGAAGAGAGGCTCAGCCAACTGGAGACCTCTCTTCTGGAAGAGGTAGCTCTGTTGGAGCCAGCCAGGAAGCACCCCAAGTCTTCCTCAATGCCATTGCAGCTGCTTATCCTTGTGGGAAGGAGTAGCGGGAAAGAGCCTCTGAACTGTCAGAGCAGCTTTCGTCCCACTCTTATTTACCACATCTCAGGGTGTGGGGAGGTCCCATTTTACATGTTGTTGTCATATAATCAGCCAGGGCATCTACCTGTCATTTTGCCTATTCAAAATTGATTGAGATCTAACTATGGGATGTGCTTGTAGAAGATGGAGCTGAACAAGGTGGCCTGGGTGCTTCAATCACTGTCTCTGCCAGTAACCCGCAACCCAATTGGGGATCATGCTAATTGCGAACACCTGGCTCTACTGCCGATTTTGGCCTAGTCAAAGAAACTAAGCAAGCTGGCCCTGTCTGGTGATGAGTGGCTGTTGTTTTTTATCCCGAGTTGTTGAGACACAACAGCAAGGAAAACCACTTCTTCTTTACTAGTTTTCTGATGAAGATACAATCAAGGGAGTGGCCTGCAAGAAAATGGTGACTTTTGACCTCAGTGACTCTGAAGACACAAGTAGCCTTATGAGTGCTGATCGGTCTCCTCACAAGAGTAAGTGTTTGGAAGAATGCTAAGACCAGCAACCTACAATCTGTGATTTTACACTCATTTTTGTGAACCTGTTTACCTTTCAGGTGGATACCCTTTCATTCCCATTCAGGCTCAGCTAATCTGCAGCTGCTGAGAATTCTGGCCACACATCTGGAAAGCATTTGGGCTGAAGAAGGGACACACTGTACCCATAGTTCCACTTTTCCTACTTGCCAAAAAGACGTGGCGTGTGTCAGGATTTGTGTTTCCTAACACAAGTGTTGCTATAGAATACATTCCTAAACTTTCACACACCCCTTTACTGCAATCTTAACATACATAACTCTCTTAAAAATCCAAAATGAACACAAATGAACAATGAAAACAATACAGTGAGACTTTGGGAAAGGTGGATCTATCATAATAATGCAACTGAAAGGTTCTTCACCTGTCCCTGGACTGTCTCTCTCTGTACCTTCCTAACCTTAACTGGGAAACCCTGCCGTAGAAGTCCAGTCATTTATTTGTCATCTCCCTTACAGAGTTGCCAGGAGAGACTCCCCCCCCCATAAACTCCCACCAGCAGCCCTATTTTTCCTTGATGATTTTGACAGGGTCTTTTTTCCTCTAGTTTCTCGGTGTGGATGAATAGCGGATTAAATTGGTCTGAATAGCTAACTTTAATCTTCTAGAAAGCTACCGCCCTCTCTCTGCCCCCCCTCCATACCGGAAGCTTTTAATTCCAAATTGTGGCTGGATTTTATTTTTCTGGGTCTGGAGTTTTATTACCTCTGTATTCTTTGTCCAGTAATAATCAATAGTTTTTTCCCTGCCTCCCCTCCCCTTCACAGCAGCTGACTTGAAACCAGATGTCCAGTTTTCTCCCTTTGACAAGATTCAGTATTTGACTGAGTCACTGCAGCGCATCACCAGTGACCTGAACTGTGTCCTTCATCTCCTGAGTACCTTCAACAGCCAGCAGTCTCTCTTAACTTCCACCCAAGGCCGACTGACTCCACTGGCCAGGGATGGAATTCCTCTGACTGCATATACCTCCCTGGCATGTGCCTATTCGGCCACACCATTTGCACCTTCCACTGGACTTCAGTCAGCCTGGTGTAACTCAGGTCCCAGTTCTGCTGCTGTGAGCAGACAGTCTGTGGACAGTCTGCTGATGGAGAAATGGCTCAAGTATTTCCCAGGTGAGAGTGGATTCTTGCCACCATGATTCTTTGATGCCAATTTGAACTCTATTCCTGGTTGAAGGGCTCATGTTTCAGCTGAAATGACCAGCAGAGCTTGTTTCTTCTCCCCCTTTCCCTCACCAAAAATGAGGCATGATTGGTAGATTCCAGAAGCAGGATTTGGATTATTGAGAGTCCGTGTGACACCATAATTTGCAGCTGTGCTAGGAGCTGTTGTCTTGTTTGAGACTTCCTTTCAAAGGATGCCTGAGATTTTCTCTTTTGGGTGCTTTCGTTTTCTATCCCAACAGCATTCTGAGCATTTTCTAAAGATTGTGTTCCCAGTAGTAGGTTTTATTTGGAGCCTGGTACATGGGAAATTTTCTTTACAGATGACCGTCTTTGCTTTTAATTACCAGTGGGGCAAGAGCAGAAATAAAATCATCTTCAATAAAATCATCTTCAAGGACTAACGTAAGATCTACAAGTGAGGATGTTTAAGACTCAGTTATCCTTGGTCCATGGTGTAGAATCCTTTTCTTCAAAAGGTGTGCGAATCAGCAAGCTGATGCTCTTATTTAGTACAGATTTTATGTATAGGTTGGGTGGGTGGGTTGGTTGAACCTGTTGTAGAATGATTTCTCTTATGTGAAAAAGCTGAGAATTTATTTACCTATAAAGTGTGTTCTGTTTATTCACTAGTCAGCAATCCAATTCCATTCCTGATCGATGACTGATCTAAGTTTAAGAATGAGCACTGAGTTGAGCTCTATGATGTAATAGTAGTAAAGAAAACCTTTTAGTTATTGAAAAAATCTTTCCTAAAGGATTCTTTGAAGAACACCCAGTGTCTGAACCAAAATTAATTTGGTTTTCCAAACATGGAGTTTGGGGGATGGAAGCATCTAAAGAAATCTACCCAGCTCTTGGAGACTAGATTTCGAATAAGTAATATGATTTATTAGAAACTTGAAAAATCCAAAGCTCTTGGAATGGATTGATGTCTGATGAAAAATACAACTTGCCTTTAGACTCTGAATGGTTCTAATAATGGAAAGCTCTTTGTTATTTGGTAAATGTAGTCTTTTCTGTTCAGGGAAGTTTCCATTGCCATGTGGTGGGCTCGGTGTTCAAGATGAAAAGCTGGACTCCTTAATAACTGGAGTAACTGGGTAAGTTGAGATCATTGTGTTTTGCCTTACAGCATTGACTATATCAGCTAACATAAAACAAGATCTGTCTCCTAGGGAGTGTTTTAGAGTAGCCATTTTGCAACTTGAAAAATGTTCTCCTCCTCTAGCTCAGGAGAGAGAAGGGATGTCCTCCTCAGATCTGAGGAAGCCAGCAAGATGTTAGAGAGAATTAAGCCTGTTCTGATATCAACAGTGCTCTCAGAAGAGCAAAAACCCTCCCCACAGGCCTCCATGGGTCTCCTGGTTCTTCACCCAACCTGATTAAGGTTGCTGCTTGAACGCAACCAATTTGTCTGCTGCTTGACCACTTTTCCTGGTTGATTCTCCCCACCTCCTGCTTCCCAACAGCGAGCAAGTCTGCCTGTTCCAGTCCCCTCACTTTCAGGGCTCCAAGGCTGAGAAGTCAAACATCCAGCGCATGATTGATGCCAATAAGAAATGGCTGGAGGGTTTCAAGCATGATTGCAAAGGGTATCCTTTTGTCCTGACTAAGTCCCGTAGCTGTTAACTGATATCTCCCACTGCAGCCAGTTCCCAAAAAGGCATTGAGATTGAGAGATGCTGAAAATAATAAGCTGTGTCTATACTGGCCAAGTGCAATAAAACTAATCTGCATTTACAGTTTGTATCCATGGAGGCAGGAGAGGAGTTTAGAACACAGCTGTGGGCTTGGCCTGGCAGGCAGATTGTTTCTTGCCCTTTTCGTTTTCAATCAGATTTGTTCATCAAGCTTCTCATGAAGCTGCAGACAACAAAGCTGTGCATCCTTCCCTTCTCTCACAGCTTTGTATGTTATGTGAAAAAGTAAGAAAAACACCCCACTGAAAGTTTTGACTTTTTCAACATACTTCAATCTATAGATATTTGATCTACAATGTTGATAAAGAGGATATAATATACGTGCATCAGTTACATTTTGTCATCCATTCTGTAATTTAAATAAATATAATTGCAAATTTCCCATGTGCAAAAGTAAGTACACCCCTTGTAATTTTTTTTTTACATATGTGGACTTTATCAATACATTAGCTTGACTCCAACAATATGTAAAGGTTAAAGATGATGTAATTGAACAAAGACACAATGAAAATTTGACTTTGCAATCAGTTATTCATCCAAAAATTAACAGATTTTCTTCAGTGGAAATGGGAAGTGCATCCTTGGCTCTAATAATGGGTATTTCTCCACTTGGCAGAAACCACCTCAAGTAGACATTTTTTATAACTATCTACCAGTCTCTGGCTTTGACTTGGAGGAATTTTTCTCCGCATCTCCATGCAAAATTTGCTCAGCTGTGTGATGCTTGAGGGGTTTCATGCCATGCACAGCTTGCTTTAAATCACCCACAGCATCTCAATTGGATTTAAATCTGAGCTTTGACTTGGCCATTTCAGAACCCTCAATTTCTGGTTTTGTTTTGTGGTTTGTTTGTTTTTTTTTGTTTTTGGCCATGCTGATTTACTAATAGGACAGATAGCATGAGTGGGAGGACTCTATTGTACATTCATAGTTCTTTCGGAGTTTCTCCTGAGTTGTTAGGAGGGATTTGCTTCTGAGTGATTTAGTGGACCCTTTTTTTGTTTCAGGTAAATCCTGATTTTTGGGGTGAGAATCAGATGAATCCTGATTCTCTGAATCCTCCTAATGAAACGTATCCCTCCAATTTGGTCTGTGACCAGCTGCATGGCAATAGAAAGCCCAGGTGTTGTTTTTTTTTTAAAAAAAATCATTTCTAGGGGAGTTCTCTTCCAGGCCTGGCTGTGGTCAGAGTGCTTCCGCCCCTTTCTAGTTTCTGTCGCCATGTCCTTCTGTTTTTCCTTCACTCAAGTTGCCAGAGCTCTCTTGCCGAGTCCTTCGCATTCCTCCAGCAGTGGCTCCGGTTTGGTGCAGCTTGGGCTGGATGAGAACAATCAGATCAAGGTCTACCACTTCTAGATGGACAAAAATCCTGCTTGTCTGCAAAAAGCCTGGCTACCTGTCGAACATCAATATATGATATTATTATCTCTGTACCCAACAGCCTCCACATGTTTTTTTGGGCTGCAGAGATTGATTCTTAGCCATATTTCTCTTGGGAAATTAATTCAAGCCTTTTTGTGGATTTTTCATCCCAGGGAAACGTCATAAATGTAAAAGAGAAAGACGTGTGTGCTGAATGGAGAAAGGTGGCTGGTAGGTTACCTGTCCATACTTAGGAAGCCAGAGAAAGAAAGGGCCCATCTGAAAGACAGGGGCTTGAGGGGCCAACATCTTCTCTCTTGCTCAGCTTCCTCTTTCCACTGTCACCGTTCGCATCTCAGAACCCACTATTCAGGTATGACTGCTGAAGGGGCTGGCAGCGTGCTTCTGCTCCCGCAGCAACTGGGAATATGAACTACAAAATCAGTCTTTGCAGAGGCTGAAGCAGGTCATGAGCAGGTCCAATTCCCCAGGTGCTTCTGGATTCTGGGAGTTCATTTCTACTCCTGGTTTCTGTTTTTCCTAAGGACTCGTGTACCCAACCTGCTGGTATGCTGTCTGGAGCACTGGCACTGTATCCATGGCACTCACTAGGCAGATTCTTTGGTGCTCCCAGCAACACCAGAAGGTAAACAGAGATTTGGGGTAAATTAGATCAGGCAATGGCCCAATGTACTCTTCCTTGAAAGTGGTTGGTATATCCTTTGATTAAGCTGCCAGAAGAAAGCTAAATTTTTCAACAACCTCCCCTCCCCCACCTCTGTTTTCAAGTGGACCGCTGATCTCGGGTTGCTTTTCAAACAATGATCACCATGTGTCTAAACAGACAGCAGAAACCATCCTCCCCAAGGGCTGGTGCTACAAGTGGCCTCAGGCCTCTCCGTTGTGGGGCAGATCTCTCCCTCTGGGTAGTCCACAGCAACTTTTCTCCTGTCCTTGTTTGTACCAGGACTGGAAGGACTTGTTTTATTGGCCTTCCAATAAATGAAATGCATATTATAGCAGAGGACTGGTGGTGTGCATCCTTCAGCTATTAACTGTATTTTTAAATTCTGATTAAATGTATTCTTTTCTACATCTTTCATGGCTTTGTTGCTTTTTCCCTGCTGCAGTCAGGAAGATTTTTTTTACAGACAGATTCTAAAATGGCTCACATTTGCATCGCTTCATCTGGTCCCAACGTTATTTTGTGAGTTGCTCCATTCCTTAATCAAGGCAGAGGCAATCATGGAGATTGCTAGGAGAAAAGTGTGTCTCTCTTTGGATACCCAGCAGATCAGCTTCAGCCAGATTTTTCTGGTGGCCTTTTGTAATCGGAATGTAAATGGTAGAGATTCTATGCTGAGCAGAAGTCCTGTGCCTTCTGCTCCATGCCTAATCCTTGCCCTCCCCTTTCCCTCTCCCCTGGTGGGCACCATTGGAAGGTGACCTGCCTCGGCATCATGAATGAAGATGAAAGGTTCCGAAACGGGGAGGCCGTTGAGTGAGCGCTGCTAGCATCAGGCAGCCCCGTCTCTGCTGAAGGCTGGCTGTGAAGTTCCATCCCATGCTGGGAGCATTCTGGTAAATCCGTCCCTTTGATCAGAAGCAGAGGGAGGAGGGAGTTCGCTTGCATCCTCTTATTAGGGAATGATGGAATTAGCTGTGTGACATTACAGGGCAAAGGACTCAATAACCCACCTCCCTTCTCAGGAAGTAAATCACTCTGAGACATTTGCACAAAGTTGTACAGCATTGTATATTATATCTCAGCAATACAAGCGGCTGATAGGCTGGGAGGCTATGGACTTTTAATTTCTATGCCAGTCTTCAGGTCTTTGTATTGACATGCCACCAGCTTGTTTCCCATCCCAGCCCTCTGCTTAGAAGGTTACCACCATGTCTTGCATGGTGGCAGCTTCCAGTGTGGCCATCTAATTGGCTGCTGCATTTGTCTTTACTCGTGGCACCTACAGTAAACAGTTCACTTGCTCAGACAAAGGCCATCCAGGAGGGAAAACGAATTCTCTAGTGATGGACTTGCTGCCCTCTGCTAGGCAAGGTGGAGCATTGCCCGGTCTGAAACTCTCCTTGCCAACCAGGGGAGCTGATGCAAGGTCTCTCCCCACCTGAACCTGCCCTACTAAACCCATTTGAGGGGTTCTAACAACTGGAAGCTTTGTTTGCCGGTAAGAAAAAAATAGTGGCCTACTGTCTCTCCCTGTCTGACAATTCCTATTTTATTGACTGTGCTAAGGAAAGGAAAATGGCATTTTAAAAGGTTTTATTAGACATTACAGCTTTTAAATAGCTGTGATGCCTAAGAGATGTATATATAAAATAATGATCTGCTTAATATCTGACATTTCCTAGAATAGCTTAATTCATGTTAAAACAGAGGATGTGAATTGCAAGGGCTCTGAAATAGGATTCCAGAATTTATTCTTTCAAAGCTGCCTCTGCCATCTGCATCACAGCTTCCTGTTTGTTCTTGGAGATCAGCCTATACCAAACAAAGGACTCTCGTGTTATAGAAACATAACTTTTATTGCACACTGCGCTGGCTTTTTTTTTAAATAGAAAAAAGTATTAGGCAGATGCAACTGGAAGCAAATCCCATAGTTTACCAAACAGTAAAACAACATGCAGTGTCTCCCAAAGGGGTCTTTAAAAAAAAAAAAAGTCTGCATGGTGAGGGCAATAGGATGAGAAAGAGCGTGTGCCCAGCAGAATTCAGCACTCTCTTCCACAACACTAAAAGGAGAGCAGGGCTTCTTCCATAAAAGAAATTCCTGCAAATGCTCGGAGCCCTCGTGACTTCCCCCCCAATTCTGGAGAAGAGAAAAATAGTTTCATTTATACAAAAACAAAAAATCCATTCTGTACAAGAGCTCCACTTAATTCCAGTATAAATGACTTGGAGAAAGAACCACATCTGTCCTTCCTACCCACTCTAGACCAGCGTATAGGATTTGGAGTAGGCACCAGTTCCCTGCTTCTGTGGCCTCCCTACGCCAGATGTGCTCATTTCTAATAATGAGTCTTTGGACCCCCCAATTTTGCTATGCGTAGGCAAGCGTGGCTCAGCAGCAGGACCCGGGCTAGGTTCAGGGGCCGGGGCAGGAGCAACAGTGGGAGCAGCAAGAGGGGCACCACTGGCTGAGCCTGGCATGGCAAGAGTTCTCTGAGGTAAGGTGGTGGCTGCAGTTGCGTGTGGTGCAGCCGAGGCTTTGCCGCTGGCATCTAAAGTCAAGTGTCTTGCTTGTGTGTGATAGGTTCGAGCCAGATTTCGTATGGAGGCTTCCCGGGGTGGCACTACAGGACAAGGGTCTTGAAGGTCTGGCTTGCGGAAGAACGTTTCAGATTTCATATACAAAGGCAGGTTGCAGTAGTCACCTGTAAAAGGTAGAAAAGGTGAGCAGAGGTTACTCAAGTATAAATGGGATGCAACAGGACCAGAGAAAAAATTCATCCAGTCCACTGAAAACAAGCAACTCCTTCAGGGAAAAGGCAAAGCAGGTGAAAGAAGTCTAAAGATCCAGCCCACTCTGCGACTGGCAAGCATCAGCACTCCCTCCCCGCATCCCCTTCAGACCGCCAGCAAGCATTACCATCCCCGTTTCTAAAGCTCTCAGACTGGCTCTGACTACCTAACTTGAAGATTGGTTGCTCTTCCCTGTACAGAGTGCCTCCCATTCCACTATCCAAGCTCATTCAAACACTTTATGGGAAGACTGTCCTGAGCTGCCTCATGAAGAGCTGCAATCAAGAGCTCTTGATTTAGCACAGTGGCTAAAGTGCAGCATTGGAGGCAGACTGCCCACAACCTGGAGTTCGATCCTGACTGGCTCAAAGTTGACTCAGCCTTCCATCCTTCCAAGGTCAGTAAAATGAGGATCCAGATTGTTGGGGGCAGTATGCTGACATTGTAAACTACCCAGAGTGTGCTGTAAAGCGTTATGGGGCAGTATACAAGCCTAAATGCTGTCGCTATTTGGGGCTGAGCTCTTCATTTGGGGCACCAAAAGGCAGCAGCTGCATCATAGCTCACTTTTATTTGCTCGGTGAGGGATAGGCACAGCTACACCCTTGCCACGGTCACTGTCTTGTGGTTTGGGAGGAGAGGCTGTGAAGCGGCAGATGCCTGGCTCAGAGGGAGTGCTCATGGAAGTCATGCTGTCAGCATTCTCATTGGTGCCAGTGGTCATCTGGTCAGAGGAGCTGTCAGAAATGAAGCACTCTGTGATTTCAAACTTGGCATGCTGCAGCTGCTCCTCTAACTTGGCATGCTCATAAGCCCGAGCCAACTCTTCATAAGTGGATGAGGCACTCTCTGTGGACACCATGCTGTTTCGGCCTTTGTCTGTGGAAACAAGAGGGAGACAATGCAAACCCTGCCAGGACAACCTGCAAGCCAGTTAATTGCTCTCCCACTCTCCTTTGCTAAGCAGAAACAGCTGGGAATGCATGAAGACAGTTCCTGCACTTCCTAACTCTGGAGCCAAAGAAGAGACATGGTGGAGATATTATCTCAGAGTCTTTGAAGATCTGGGCAGGAACAAACAAAGTCAAGTTCAATCCTGATAAGAAATGAGTGGATGCGACATTGGAAGCTAGTGGTATCCCATCTTTTTTTCTGGACAGAGTCATGCTCCCTAAGCCCCAAATGTTTCAGAAATAAAGAGATCCTCTTGGATTTGCACATCTGCTCAAGGGGTAGAAGGCAGCTGTGGCTAGGAAAGTTTTTGTGCAACTCCATCTTGCATGTTAGTAACAACACTTTCTGGATAAGAAGTTATCTGTTCACAGCTACTTATTTCTTCATCACCTCTTGATTTAACTCCTGCAATGAGCTCTCCCAGAAGCTTCTATCTGTTCACTAAGCTCCAAAAGAAAGGATACCCTTTCAACCCCACAATAAGGCACCATGACAGATGGATGGCTTTTCCTTTGCTGCCCCTCTCCTGGTCCTGCACCTGAATTCAGATCGTGAACAAGCTGCTGGTGTTCAGAAGAGTTACTTAGATCTGACTATTCTGTCAAGTCTTTGATGTATGATAGAAGTTGTAAGTGACATTCCTTGGTGTGATGATGCATGAAAGGGGGTAGTAGCTATTAGTAAAATTAGCCTGGTTTATGTTATAATTTTTGTTGTTTTTAATTTAATGTGTTATTTTGTGGAACCATTTAAGAATCTAGTTTCTCTATATGCATATAAATTAAAATAAGCAAATAAAACCTCCGCAAAATATGCGGAAAGAAGATTTTTATCTCTTGGAAGTTCTGGGGTGGCAGGCCACAACAAACTGCAGCTGGATTTGGAAGGCTGTGTTTCGTGGCTGTAACTCAACTCACCTGTGTCCTGGGACAAACTAGCACTGAAACTGTCACTTTCAGTCACTGTGATGCCATGCTGGGAGCCAACTGCTCTCCAGTCAGAGGCCAGAGTCCGTGCTGGCGTGGAGGCCTGGCACTTGGTGAGAGTCCACTGGCTGGAGTATCTGTTCCGGGTACTGTGTGTAGATTTCACACTTTTCCTTGAAACAGGATCTGCAAAAGAAAATGGCTGCCTTTCTGCCTTTGGAAGGAGAAATAAGAACTGTGTAGATTGGACCTTATGAGGCTGGGCTGAAATCTGCCTCATGCAGTTGCTGTAGTAGTTTCTTACCAACAGGTACATTTTTACGTCAGCGATGCCTTGTATCTAAAATGTTTTTTTGTAGATCATTCTCTCTCCCGTGTCATGTGCAGTGTATGAGATGGAACATGACACGGATCAAAACACAGACCAAGCCTGGACCTAGAAGCCCCATTCTATGGCCAGAGGCAGCAAACCAAACACAAAACCATTGGTGTGTGAGGACAGGAGCCCTGACAAGACGGGGGATAGGAAAGTGCTGAGCAGCTGGAGAAGATGAACCAGTCAGGGAAGAGTGGGGCAGCTATGGGGCTGACTGGAGTGCTACCTGTGGGCTTGAGCAAGGCACACAGGAGATAAAGCAGGCCCTGGCATGCAGGTCAGGTAGAACCATCAGAGGGCAGAGAAGGGCCAGACAAACTAGTGTCATTAGATCCCTTTAAATTTTGGGGAGGCAAGACCTGAAATCACTAAAAGCCACATGCCAAACTGCAATACATTTATTTTGCAGATAAAGGGCATAAATGGTCAAGTTCTCACAACCTCACCGTTCCAGCACTGTCAGTTTAGGTTAACATAGACACACGATTCAAAGCCTCTTATCAGAGCTGGTTACTGTGAGAAATGAAACCTTAGTAGAATCAGAGAATTTGGCTACAAGTAGGGCCAAGGGTCCCCCAGAGACCTCTTCCCTCCCTCCATGCCTAGTGATCGTCTGCCTTCAGAGGCATTTGCTTTAAAGCGTCTCTGCTTGGGCAAAGACCTCTGATCTTTTTCCTGCTGGGGCCAGAGTGGAAGATTGTCTGCAGTGCTTACTTGTGCCAGGGCGGATGTCAGACATATCAATCAAAGGCCCCGTGTTCTGGATCAGTGCTGGATGGTGTAGTGACACCCCTGTGCAGAAGGTCTGTGGATTGACAGTCTGGTTGAATTCTGGGTCAGAGACTGGGACTGTTGCTTTGTCATCTCCTATGGGAAATAAATTTGGATAATGACATCCCACCCTGGGATGGCTAAGAAGCAATAACCCCCACTTTGGCCCCTCCTGCAAGAGAAGTCCACAGAGTTGGAGTGTGTCCCTTTATGTTCTTAGAGCCTCATTGGGGGTAGATAGGAAGACCAACGCATGCAATTGGCCACACCCAAAATGCTTGCCAGGAGTCCCAAAACACTATTCAACCCAGTTGATCTGGGAAGGAGAGAACCCAGACTCCACCTAGGACTGTAGTCATATCTGCACGAAAAGCGACCCCATTCCCAGAGCCAGGGAGAGTAATTGGACAAGGGCAAAACGCAAAGGAGGCAGCTGTGGGGATAAGGCCAGTCCCCTAAACTGGGAGGTGAAGCAAAGCCGCTCACCAATCTGCTTGATCCCCTCCTTGTCCTCAATGAGCAGCTGAACCCGGGGGATGTCGATGTGCAGCCGAGGGCCTTGGGGAGGACCCTTCACGGGCGTGTCAAAGCTACGATTATTCTTACTGCAAAGGAGAAGAAGGAGACAATTGGGACTGGAGGTTGTCTGTATCCACTCTGCATTGAAATGCTAACCAACAAGATTTGAATGTGGTTACCTACCTGATGAGCATTTCAGCCAAACTCTTGGCATCTGCAAGGGAAAGAGCAGAGTGGCCTGAATGGGGGCAGCAGAAGCAGCAGCCCTCTGCCCCAGCTGCTCTTGTGCAGCTTGAATCAGGCCGCGAGGTCACCTCTCTATGGGGAGCTAAGGCTAAAGGAAAGATCAAAGAGGGGTGCATGCCTATGCAGGTAGCCCTCGACTTACCAGTGTTCCTTTAGTGACGACAGCACCGAAAAAGTGACTTACGACTAGCACTTGTACTTATGACTGTCGCAGCATCCCTACAATCACCTGATTGCAATTTGGGTGCTTGGCAACTGACAGTTGCAGCTCCCACGCCCACCACTGGTGTCCTTCCCAAACAGCTTCTGACAAGCAAAGTCAATGGGGAAGCTGGCAGGGAAGGTTGCAAATCATGATCACATGATGTCCGAGTAGTGATTGCAGCAAAAGAGACTGTAAAGCCAGGTGTTGTCCTCTGAGGCCTCACTTAAAGGCTGCGCCCCTTAACCATGAATTTTCAAGTCAAGTGGTTGTAAGTCAAGGACTATCTGTACCGCCAGCTCTAATGAGGGTCCTATCCTGCAGCACCCACCTTTCTTCCACCAGCCCTACCTACATAGGCAGCTGCAGGGACCGAATCCTCTAGAGGGGAAAGCCAGATTGATACCTGCTCAGGCTCATCTAGCCCTGGGGTTTCTCTCCTGGCTGTTGAAAAGGGATTCCCAAGAACCAAACATTCACCTCGCAAACGCTTCAGACGCTTCTCCTTCCGCTTCTTTCGAACGACAAAGAGCAACGCCACACCAAGTGTGGCCAAGATGACAGGGCAAGCGATGGTGAAAAGCTTCTTGACATCATCTCCTTCTCCTTGTGCAGACTTAATAGGCGGAATAGTGCCTGTGCAGAAGAAGCATCAAAGCACAATCTGTGCACCTCCTGAAAAAGCCCGACCCACAGGGAACGGGGCCTTCTAAACCCCCCCAGCCAATCCACACTCACTGCCATCGTAGTCCAGGGTGGCGAACTGCAGAGTCTCATTGCCACAGCCGGCACTGTTGCATGCTTTCATGCGCAGCTCATACCAAGTGGCTTCGTGCAAGTCAGTCAGAAAGACTTCACTGGAATAATTGGCTCGCAGGCTCTGCCAAGCCCAGGTGCTTTTGGGCCGGAACTCCAGGACGATGGCTACAATGGGGCAGCCCCCATTGTTCCAGCCTTGCAGGCTCAGCCTGGCATGGGTGGAGTTGATGTGGGTGAACAGATGTTGGTCCTTATTGAAAGATGGTTCTACAAGGAGAAGGAAGCAGGTGAGCTTGGGCAGAATAGAATAGAGCAGTTTGCCAGGTTCTGGAAAGAGGCACCAAGGATTTCTTTCATGACGTATGTTCCCTTAAAGTGTACTGCCTAACCCGCTAACCAATAAAATGTAGAGCACACACATTAAGTATCATCATCATCATCATCATCATCATCATCAATTTAGGCACTACAAAACCCAGAGCTCCCAATATGCTTTCCATGAGCTGTCTGCCACCACAGTAGCACAGCCTGGGCAGGTGCTCCCTTCAGCCAGGCTCCTCAGGCAGCTGCCCTTTCCCAACTGTGCAATGGCAGATGATCTGCTGCAGAGACCCTTCCCCACAAAGGATCAGCTCCCCCCTCTAAAAAGGGGTTAATTAATTTCCCTCTTCCCTCCCCCAAAAATATTGAATTAATATTTCTTGAGTTGCAGGCTGCACAGCATCCATATCCATTGCTAGCTATATAAAAATTTAAAATATTAGTAATAGAAGTTCAAATGTTCAAAATATCTCCAGAAAAGAAGGAAAAATGGGGAGAGATAGGGGGCTATCTAAATGCTTTTTCTAATTTTCTTGGTTTGGGGAAAGCAAGGTTTGTTTTTTTCTACAGACAAACTCACGGCAGAATTTAAAGGGAAAAGTGTTCATGATTCTTCCATAAGGATCCTGTATTCATTAGGAGGCCTCCTTAATACAAGGAAATTTGCAGTGGGCTTTGATCCTAAATGGTCTAGCTAAGATCTGCACCAAGCTTGCAATCAACTTGATGGGTGTAATATTTCAATTAGGCTTCAGGTGATGTACTTCTCTCTGGCATTCCTGAAATTGACAAACCTTTGAAACCTTTGAGAGTGACTGCAAACCATTATAATAAACTTGTCTGCCTTGTTTAAAACGAGCTCCTTACAAGGCCAGGGTGAAATATTCCCACAGAAGGCTGTTCCTCCTTCAGATGAGTTCCAGGCCAGAAGAAAGTCAGGATGGACAACGTTTTTATGCATAATTTGTTAAAACGTGTGTGGGAACCACAATTTCCCTCTCTGAAGTCTTTCCTTCCCAATTAACTCCAACTCTAAGAAAGCCTCTCGGTCTTCCTCAGGACAAATCCCAACGTCCACTTTGCAAGACTTCCTTCCTTCCTTCCTTCCTTCCTCCGGGCCAGAGGCTCCCAGCTGCTGCCTCTGCCTGGCTCCTCCCCCAGCCCCAGGCACCAGTCACCTCTGCCGTGGGTCTTGGCCTCAATGATCTCACTGATGCGGCCAGCTCCAACGCTGTTCTTGGCTGCCAGCTTCAACTTGTACCAGGTCCCGCATTTCAGGCTGCCCAGCTTGAAGGAGCGCTCTGCGGAAGCAATTAACACGTCCTTCCACTCCTCACTATTATCCACTGAGTACTGGAGCACAAAGCCTGCAGAGGTGCAGAAAAGGGAGCACTTTGGAGAAGGGGAGTCCATGCAGCAGGAGCCTCTGCCATCTCCTCCCCCCGCCCTCCAGTTCATGCCAGCAGCTCAGGCTTAAGTCCCTGAAGCCCCCCCCCATACCCCAGGACAGCTGGGGGGTCTCCTCCAAAGAAAGAAACCGCAAAACTTCCATTGGGTGCCCAGCCTTCTAGACAACCATCTCAATAAGCAAAGCCAAACAAAAAGATGCACGCTTTCTCAGGGCCCATCTGTGCATGTCATCAAGGAGGAGTGTGGCTCCTACACGTGTGCTTGTGCCAGAGAGGGAGGGGGTTCCATTCAGGCTGCCACCCCCTCCCCCCCCAGCCATGAAGTAGAAAATGGCTCCTTCAGTTATGCTCTTCCATGCCCATCCTTTTTCCAGCTATCTTCCTGCTCCTCTGCTTGCTCCTCTTGGAAGTCACAACCCCCCCCCCTGCCCCCAACCAAGCAATGAATCAGTCCAGGCAGAGGATTCTACCCCCACTGCAGCACTTCTGGCTGTTTCTGGCTGTTTCAATTAAAAGGAAACACATCCACAAATGCTGCTGGCTAGGGAGACTGCCTTGTAATTAATTCCATAAGTTTAATTAATTGCGATGTGAAGACTCCCTTCACTTCTTCTTCTGGGGCTGCCATTGTTTCCCTGAGGGCACTGAAGCGGATGAACAAGGCGGCACTGGCACACAGCTTCATGCCAGGAATCAGGCCGAGACTGGGGAAATGCATCTCGGAATCTCCACTGATTTTGGCCTAATCTTCCACCAGCTGCTACCTTTCAACCCTACCAAACTAAGCCCTGTTGTGAAATAAAAATGGAGAATAGGATCTTCCTCCTCCTCCTCCTCCCTAAACAAGCTGGTTGGGAGGTACAAAGAATCTGAGCTCAGGTAAGAAGGAACTGCCTGACCTGCTCTGCCTTTGCTAAATAAGCTGCAGTCAGAACTATTTGGAGCTTACACAGACACACAACCTCAGATGAAGCTCTAAGGAGTCTTTCACAGAGCCAAGGAACCATTTAGTGCTCCTCAAAAGAATGCCTTCACCCAATACCACCTTCCCTTGCTAAATCTTTGGCCACAGCAACATGAGGCAGCTGCGCCCAGAAGACCAAGAGCCCACCCTGCAGAAAAAAGGCCCAAACCCAGAGAAGGAAGGGGAGACAGAATTGGGGAGACATTCAGGAATAGCCAAGCTTTGTCTATCTATCCAGCAAGTGCAGCCACCCTCCCTCAACTTGCCTCGGATGGAGCTGCCACCATTGTCACCAGGGATCCAGGCCAAGGTGATAGATGAAGCCGAAGTCTTGGACACCATCAGCCGGGGCTGGTCTGGAGGGACTGAAAGGGAAGGCCATTTGGGTCAGCTTCCTTGTCACCCGGCTCCTCCACATTCAGCTGTAAGAGTTCATCAAGCTGGGCACTCTGGGGCAGGGAAGTTAGGCAGGCCTTTGTCCTAGACAAAATCCCCCCCGGGGTGGGGGAGGGGAGTTCCTTCTGATAGCTCACCTTGCACCAGCAAGTTGACAATGATGGTATCAAATCCCCAGGTATTTGTGGCAGTGCAAGTGTAATACCCCGAGTCTTCTGCTTTCACAGAACGCAGAATCAGGGTGCCATTGGATTGGATCTGACGGTGACCATCCAAAATGACCGGAATAGCTGAATCATCACTGCAAAAGAAAACCTCAACATTAGAAAGGCATGGTCTGGCCAGAGACCTTCCAAGCCCCTCCCCCCTTGGCAAAAAATACCTGTCTTTAGTCCACTTCATAGCTGGGAGAGGATCCCCCACTGAACTGCATGGCAGTCGTACATCTTTCATCCAAGGGGTGGTAACTGTGCCCCCAAATGAGATGATCTTGGCTGGAGCTGCAAAAGATGGGGAGGGTGACATGGTGAGGGGTCCACAGCAGCTGAGCTGCCAGGCGCTCCCCATTCCACTGCCAAACCTTTTCCAGCAGGCTCAATGGTGACTTTCTCGCTCATGTTGCCCCGCCCTGCAGAGGTGACAGCGGCAACCCAGAGCAGGTACTGTTGCCCACGGTTCAGGTGTGCAATGCGATAGAACAGCTGCTCTGGACTTGTTTCATATTCGCTGGGAGCCTGCAGGAGAACCGAAGGAGAACAGGCCTGCAGCTGGATCAGACTGCTTTCCTGCTTGCCCAGTGGAGGCCTCTCGGGAGCCCACGTACCCCAACAGCTGCCACCTATAGGCCTGTGGCCCTGGAGGCAGCATTAGCAGCCTGCACTAGCAACTCCTGAGCCATTGCTAAATTTGCCTTTCTTGGGTTTAGGGGCCCTCGATATACACCTTCATTTCCTTCTTGATCTGTCCAAAATCTCAGTAACTTGGCCTCCCTGAAACTCCCTTGCTTTCTGGTCTTAGGAGAAAGGCTTTTCCCTAAGAGCTTTCCTCAACTTCTACAAGATTTCATACATTTGTGCAGATAGGTTATTCTTTCTACAATGGATCAAATTTATTATTTACTCTCCATTTCTTCAAGCTAGACAGATACTTTTGGATTTCTTCAGTGCCTGTTTCTGTTTTAAGCAAAAAAATAGGGGCAACTTCACTTTTGACCTCTAACTTGGGCTCTTTTATAAACAAGTTAAATAGCCCCAATCTCTGCTGTTTACAAGAACCTAAAGGGGAAAATAACTCAGACCTCAGCTCTGAGGTCCTGGACCTCACCCTGTCTCTTGGGCAATCAGAACACAAGGTTTACATTGGCCTGGAGCTGACAGATGCTACCTAGTTGTTTGTTTGTCGCCCTATTACAATTCACAACTCCCAGCATGCCCTGTTTCTGACTCTTGCAAGACAGATCTGGGCAAGAAGAGGAAATGCCTGTTCAAGAGAGGCTTCAGGCTGCTGGGACTTGCACTGATTGCTGATTTGACAGACCGTCCAGGTTGCCTGGCTGGACCACTTTTAAACTGTAGCCCGAGGCACATCCCCGTGGAACCAGCCAGGCAGGCCCCCCGCAGAGCCCTCAGGTTCTCAGCATCTGGGCTCCTCTCTGGGGTCAGGAGGAAGGGAGGCTCTCCCTTCCCCCTCCCTGGGGAAGTCTTACATTCCAGATGCAAGGCTGCCATAACTTCCCAGAGCTGCCACCTGTGGGCACATGCGACTGCCTGGGAAGCTCCATCAGGGCCAATGCCAAGCCTGACTGGCAGACAAATATCTCACCTCTGTGCCCAAACAGTTTTGGTTTGGCATGCTTGGAACATGGACTGATAGATCCACAGGCAGAATACTTCAATATAACCAATGTTTAAATATGCAAGCATAAATATTGCATTGCATGCACAATTTTAAGCCAAATGGCAGCCTTGACAAGATGCCAAGGAAACAATATCAGATCCCAGCAGCTTCACCAGTTGCTTTGATGAAAAGATTATGTTGCCCTGGAAACGAAGGGCTCAGATGTTAAAATGAACTGCAGAAAGCGATTTTGATAAGCAAATGTTGTCCCCGCCCTCCTTTCCAAGCTAACAGAGCCTGAATGTTCCCAGGAAGCTTTGGGGGCCAACTAAGGTCTGGGCTGCATCCATTTCTGTGTTGCTGCTGCCACTGGTGCAACTACACGAGATGGAACAAAAGAGCCCGTGTCCTGCAAGGACCAGAAGTAGCAACCGACCAGAGGGGCAGCAGCCTGTTCTGTAGAAGATGCTTCTGTTGTATTTATTTATTTGTTTGTTTGTTTATTACAAGATGGGTCACGGCCTCCTAAAAACGGTGAAATGATGATACACAAGAATTGTAAAATCATATTCATATTGCAATAAATAAAATTTGAAATCAGTATTACCAGGACATCTGCCTTGAAGTCTCTATAGGAGGAGACCATCTTCACAGCCTTTCTAGGGACAATAGGGAGCATCCTAAGCTCAGGTGGAAAGCTATTTCACAGTGAAGCTTTTACAACTAAAAGCTCTAACTCTAGCATGTAATCATGTGGCCCTACTTCTCTAACATGGGGGGGGGAGGGCTGCAACCTGGCCTGCTGGCACTGGGGGCTTCTACTTGCAGCCAGCAGTTTTGAATGCAATCTGAGCCTGAACCACGAAGGACTTTACAAGTAATCACCACCAAACTGAATTGGCCTAGAGACAAACTAACAACTGGGACAGCTTTCACAATATTGGTATTAGTCAACAATAACGGATTTCCCCTGTTGGTATGTGGGCAGCTGCCTTTTGCATCAACCATAACTTCTAAATGATCTTCAAGGTAGCCTTCATGATTATAGTAGTCCAAATGCCAGAAGATAATGGCATGAGTCACTGTTGACAAAGCCCTCTGCTCCAAAAGAGGCCACAAGTAGCACCTCAGCTGAAGCTGGGACAAGGTTCTCCTGGCCACAGCCTTTATCTGCTCATTCAGGTCTAGGAGAACCTCAGACTGTCCACTTGCTCCTTCAGGGGAATGCAAGAGATGGAATCTAGAAACAGAGGGCTTCACCTTTCTGCAATCTGTTTCCTCCCTGCAAAGATGGAGTCAGGATGTCTCTGCATCTCCTGCTCAACTGGAGACAGGGAATGGGTAGCTAATGAGACCTCACCCTACCTACATGTTAACAAAAATGGTTGAGAGGCTCTCCATGTTAGAGTGGCTCCTTCCCACCAACCAAACCTAGAGGTCAAGAAAGAGGAGAGGCACTGTCAAAGACTATTACTAATTTCCAGACAAATGGCACTGGATGCTGCTGAGAACTCTAGAAGGACCACTGTTCTTCCTGGTCCTGCTACAGGTCACCCACAAGAGTAAACAATGCAACTTGTGTCCCCTATCCAGGCGTGAGCACAATCTAGAATCCATATCCACTTCATCCCAGGGCCCTAATACCTTCTTCTACAAAGAAGGGCAAGTTTGGGCTGGAAGCAGATGCTCACTTAATAGCAATATCATTCCCACTTTCAAAAAGGCATTTGTCATTTCTCCAGTTCCTCATATCATCCTCTCCTGGCATCTCTGAAAAGCCAGGCGGGACAAGGAGCTAGCCTACATATGGCAAAGATCATCCCACAGAAAACCTTGTCAACCTTCTTGGGGGTTCATGGTTCAAATGAATTTCTCGTGATTTTGCAAGGCACAGATTGCTGCATCTCATTGGTCGTTGTCCAGTTCAAGAAGCTATGAGTGATTTTATCTTCAATGTGACTAACTAAAAAAGGTTGTCGTGGCTTGAAGGTACTTCTTCAAAACCCAACACAGTTGAGATAACCTCAACCAGCTGCTGGTGCATTAAGGACATGGAAGTAGTCATGCTTCAATTAAGCTTGAGGTCAAATTATCTGCCAAATCACTAGGAAATTCCCAAAACATGCTTGAAAATCAGCAAGATCTATAGAGGCCTAAGACAGACCATCCTAACTGATCCTACCCTCTGCAGCTACCAAAGTAGGAGCCTAAACCGAGGGGCAGCCATCCTATTGTGCAGGAAGGGAAGCACTTTTTTTCTCTCTAAAGCCTTTCCTGTAGATCAGCACACCAGCCTCAGTCCATTCTATGGCAGGGAGCTCAGAGCAGAACCTGCCAAAAACTCTCTCCTAATTTGCATCCAGCTCTTTAGCAAAAGCCAAGGCCATCTTAGAGAACACAGAAACCCTGGAGGGGACCATTGGACCTCTACCTTTGACTGGCAAGGCCAAGCAAATGGATAGATTACAGTGTTTCTCAACCTTGACCATTTTAAGGCATGTGGACTTCAACTCCCAGAATTCCACAGCCAGCATGCCTTAAAATGGTCAAGGTTGAGAAACTCTGTGCTAGAAGGACAATGTTGTCTGGGTGCCCTTAACTCTCTACCCTCCTCTCAGACTGACCCGAGGGAAGGGCTGCCCGATGCAGCAGGTGAAATCCTCCTCATTGGAAAAGGCATATCTCAAATAGATGATTCTGCCAAGGTAAATTTTAACTCATGAATGCCATTTATCCTTGACTTTTACTGGTGTGTTGTTAAATGCCGTGTTTTAAATATAGATTTGTGCATTATTGGGGTTAGCTACTAAGCACGATTTAAGTTAAATTAGTAAATAAATGCTGGCTATTTAAATCTATTTCTGCTTTGTAAAATAAGCAATGATACATTTGTCAGCCTGTAAGTTATGGAATGTGGTGAAAGAGAAACAATGGCGGGGAGGAGGGAGAGAAAACCTCGCGGGACAAAGGTCTGATCCACTATTGTATTGTTCTTTCCTACCCCATCCTAGTGTCCAAAATAGACTGAGATGATCCACCGAACTGCAGGCTGCTTCTGGCAGCTCCTGATTACAACCCGGGCTGAGGATCCCCAGGGTAAAGCTACCTGAGGCCAGTCCTCTCTTCAGGGGACAGACAAGGCTTGGCAACCTGCTGGCTTAGTAGCCAGGCAACTATGGCGCGCCCACTCTCCCAGGAGCCCCATCACAGCTGCTCACCGGTTGGCCAGAGCCTGGGCTGGAGCAGAAAATGGTATACTTCCGGATAACCCCATTAGGTTTTGAGGGTGGCAACCAAGATACCACAACGCTGCTGGCAGAGGAAGGCACCGCTTTGATCCCGGCAGGAGGACCAGGAACTGCAAGAGGAAAGAAGAGGCATGATTCTCAAGGCCTGTCTAGGTGGGCCGCACTGCAGCCATGCTGTTGCAGGAAGGAAGGAGCACAACTCACTGCAGTGCCCTGCTGGGAGTGAGGGGGGAAGGAACAGTCCTCTTCTTTTACCCCAGTTGTGCCAGCCACCAAAGGTCTCACTGGCAGGACACCAGTGTCTCCCTTTAGAGCAACTTCTGCCATTAGAGGGAAAGTCCTGGCAGCAGCTTGCTTCCAGCCCAGTCTGCTTCTGACAGATTCTTGATCAACCGAGACAAGCTGAGCAAGGGTTCAAGGAAGTGGGGCTCCAGCAGAATGTTCTCTTGCCATGCATGGAAGGCTGCTGGAAGGGATCAGCTGGCCAGCCCACACTTGGGAATGCTGCCATTCAGGTGGGCTTCACCTGGGTGTCCCCAGTACCAATCCAGCCCACCATTCAAATCATGTCACAGCTAGAAAGGAATCCCAGTTCCTTCTGGCTGCTCTTCACCAGCCTCTACAGTTCCCCCACCCCTGAACCACTAGAGCGGAACCCAGGTGAAGCATCCCTTTCCAGCTCTGAGATGGACCAAAAAGGCAGGCTGGCCAAAGCCAGCATGTGATCCAGAGGCTGTTTTCTGGTTCTTCGATGGGTTGCTCTCCCCGTATGGACTCTGAGTCCCTTCCGCCCTGCAGGTCTTTGTCCTTCCAAGCCTTCTGGCACCCTGGCTTTTCTAGGGCCTCTGTTTCTGTCCTGCTGTCCGAAAGATGCCCTGTCTCCTCCCAGGAGGGACATCAGAGGTCCAGCCACAAGAGAAACAAGCCAAGCCCACTGACTGCAGCGAGGCAGGCCACATAACTGAGATAAGTGGGGTAAAAAACTCTGGAGTTTCCCCAACTCCAGAGGGAGGGAGGAAAAGAGGAGAAGCGAAGCCCCAAACCACCAGAGTGGGCCCTATGGAGCCATAGTACAGCAGAATCATCCACACCCCAAAGAGGACATCTGTCCCCTGTACAGAAGCTGTGGGAGAGCTCTACACAGGCCAAGGAACAGGAACACACTATCCAGCTTCATAGAGCTCAGCTGCAGGCACTCACTGTCTTCTTTAGTCTGGATGTGGAGGACGTTGCTGCGGACCCCATCACCTGCCTGGGTGTAGGCCAGGACCTGCACGCTGTAGTTGGTGAACTTCTCCATGCCCCGCAGCTCTGCTCGCTCCCGAGTGGTGGTGACATTCTGCATCTCCCCCCACTCTGTTCAGGAAGCAAGAACACTCCGTGCAGAGGCAGGTAAGGCTCCCGCTGCCCTCTGCAGCCTCCCAACTCAGCCTGCCATAGCTTGATTTGCCTAGCAAGCCTCCAGCACAGAAGTGGGGAAAGAGCTTGGGGATCTGGCTGAAGGCTGCCCCAAGGCTCACAAATGGGACAGAGCTGCCACTTGCTACCCAGCAGGTGGACAAAGCCAGGACACAGTACAGTGGCAGTACCCTGCCCCGCCACCTTCAGCTTGCTTCCCCCCACCCCCATAGGACACAAGGGCCCTGAAAACAACAGAGGAAGCCTTTCAAGGGTTAGCCACATTTTGTGGAAGGAAGCACACACTCACTCCCACGGGCTCTTATGCACACACAAAGAGTTGTTGCTACAGCCTAAAAGAACCCCTAATAAACCATCCCACAGAACCCTCAAAAGTAGTAAGCCTGCACTGGATGTTGGGGAGCAAAGAAAGAAACTGCTCTCAATTTTTTTTAATGGCCCCCTTGTAAGCCTCGTTTACCTTTATGCCCCCCCACCTCACAATCATTGTTCTCTAGAAACAAAAGGTAATTTACTACCTGTATGTTTATTACTCTGATTTGTATCATATAGTGTAAATGGTAATAAATGTCAATATTTATGTAAGGATGGAGGCCACATCAGAAACTTACTGTGCCTCCTTAGAAATATGACATGGCCTCAGGGACCTCTATGGCCCATATTGAGAACCACTGGCTTAGAGCCTCCCCCCCCCACACCCCAGGAGCTCCTGCACAGAGCATGGTTCACTTGCCAGAAACCCAGCTGGGGGAGGCTCTGGGGCTCAGAAAGGAATGTGCTTTTTCTGCCACAGTCCAAGTGGTCCTTCCTGTTATTTGCTTGCACTGAGCAGGAGACAGTTTAAGGAGCACTGCAGTCTGCAAAGTGACTCCAGGCATCCCTGAGAAAGTGCGCTGGGTCCATTGTGCCAAACGCAGCAACAGCCAGCTAACAGAACAAGACAAATAATTACAAGAGGTTCCCAAAGGAGAGTGGAGTTGAATTCCCTTATCTTGCAGTTGTGTCAGGGGCATTGAGTGACAGGCAGCACCAGCTTGGCCTCCAGTATCCAGTTAGAGGGTAGTTCTGACAGTTCTGACATGAACCATCTGAAGATCTGATGTGTTAGTGGATGAAAAACAGCCTTCTGCCCTCCAGATATGATACTACACTAAATTCAGTTAATGAAAATGAAATGAGCACATTGCTCCCAACTCACCACCATCCATGTAGAGAGACCAGAAGATGACCCGGTAGCCCTTCAAGATGCCATTGAGGGTGCTCCGAGGGGGTTCGGACCATGAGATGACAGCCACATCAGAGGTGATGGACAAGGCCCTCACGTTTTCAGGGGGCTGGCTGGGAACTGAACAGGGAATCACATGCAAAGGGATACCCCTGGTTGCCATAGCCCCTTGGCTGTTCTTTCAAACAGGTGGGCAGATTAATTTGCCAATCCATCCATGCTCCCCAGAGTCCCAGGATGAGGCCTCTGCCATGGAATTTTCTACTAGACCCGCAAAGCTGTGCAGTTGCTTGAAGAAGGGAATACTCAGCGAGTGATTGGGGTAGAGGTAATGAGAACCCGCTGCCCCCCAAAGACAGATCTCTAATTTTTATGAGCATTTAAATGACGATATATCATCCTAATGATCCACTCGGAAAAGGATGATTGTTTCCATTTATTTAGGTGCAAAGCTGAATGCATGGTGTAATTAGAGGCTGGTGTTATAAACTAACAGAGAGTCCGTTTGAAGAAAATGAAGGTAATATAATTATGGGAAATAACACTATTGCTAAAACAGGGGCCCTTGAATACCCCAGGAGGAGTGCTAATCTAGGCAGGAAATGATGCTGCTTTGACAGACTAATGAGGGTCTTAATTAAGTATGATAAATTGCTGAACTAGTGAGGAAGAAACTTCTATTTTGTTTTCCAAGTGCTGATCTCTTAGCCCATGAAACCTGTGGAGAATCCCCAGAGGAAATGGGGGCAGCTGTGGGCACAACAGAGCTACTCCTTGGCAGGGTCACCGGCTGCATTCTGCACAAGGCATTGTGGGTGGAGAGTTCAGAGACGGGGTAGCAGCTGCACAAGGGAGCCCTGGAGAGACTCAAAGTTACTCTCGCCCGTCCAGACTGGGGTGCTGAAGGATGGCACACTTCAGGCTCTCACCAGAATGGCATTCAAGGAAGGCCCAGGGTGCCCCTGGGGTAAGGAGGAGCACAGTCACTGAAATCAGACAGGCAGCCTACGCAGGCCCTTTCATCTCCAGATGTCACACTAATACTGGGGGGGGGAGGAGAGAGAGAGAATGAGAAAGAGGGAGGGGGCATTCCAGGTCCAGAATTGTATCCTGTGCCGATTTTGAAAAGGGAAGGGAAGGCTCACTCTCTCCCACTCACTCAGTCTCACAGACTTGTTCTAATGGTGACCATCACAGAATGGTGACCACTATTTATTTTAGCTCCCACAGAAATTGCCACCTATTTGTACGTACCTAGAACCCCAAAATGTCTAAAACATAATAAAACCTAACTTTGCCTAACAAGTATCTCTGCCTCCTGATGATGAAACAAATAAACCCTCTTATGTATGGAAAACAGAAACAGGCCTGCCTTTGGGAAGATAGTAGCAGCTTTGGGTGGAAGGATGCCATCTTGCAGGAAAGTCTGGCTGGACTGAAATAAAATGTAACAGCCGCTGAAAAGCCAAGAAATTGCCAGGACTTACCATCCTCCAGTGTGGTGGCATTGATTTCACTGGACGAGGGGCCAGTGCCTGCCCGGTTGAAGGCCTGCACCACCACACCATACTGGGCAAATTTCTTCAAGTTGTCAAGGGTGTAGACTTCACTGTCCCCCGTGGCCTTCATCTCCACAATGCTGTACTGCCCGCTGCTTCCTGGGCTGTTCTCTCGATAGCCAATCTGGTAGCCCCGGATAACCCCATTCTGGAGTTCTTTCTTTGGGGCCTATGAGGTGGGTGAGTAAAGAGGATGAGTAAAAATAGGGGAGAGAGTCCATGGCAGAGTCAGAGCACGGCAGGCAGATTCAGGATGAGAGAGGGGAGTGACTCCCCTATCCAACCATCTAAATGTTAACTGCCTGCATTCCCATCCCAGTTTCAACCAGCTGATACTCAGGCTTGTTCAAATGGCCCAAGAGTCTACCAAGCAATCAGTGTAGCCTGCCCTCCTTACATTCACATGCTCTGGATGACAGGATCCCAGCTGGCAATGGAAGCACCAACACGAGAAAGGCAGAAGAGTTGGTCTTCCTTTTGGTACAGATCCAAAAAGAGGGACAAACAGAAAAAGTGGACAGGTGGAAGCCCTCTACAGCACTCAGCCAGTACCTTGGGAAAGAAGCACTCTGAGATGAGGAGCAGGACCCTTGAGGCCGAGACCCCCACCAAGAAGCTGACTGATTTTAGTACAAGCCAAGAGCACTCTTGTTTTTACCTTCCTCTTAAGACAGTGCAAGCTCCTTGCAGGCCAAAAAGGAAGCCCCTGCCTCAGATATTTAACCCAGTCACTCAACTCAAGGACTTTCTGCAAATAAAATTCTCTCCTCGGTATTTAAAAACAAATAAATTTAAAAAAAGTATTTATCTATTTATTTTCAAAATAACCACTCAGAGTTGCTGGGAGTTGGGCACTGGGAGTCAGGTGGCATGTAAATTTAATAAATTATCATTATGGTTGGTCACACAGTCAGCCAGATGTTTAGATTTGGCATTTTCATCTATCGAATCCTCTCAAGAACCTGGGATAGGCAGATGTTGTTTGAGGGCATTAAAGCAGAGTTCCCCAACCTTTCCAGCTTTGCGGACCGGCAGGGGAGGGGATGGTTCCATGGGAGCAGTGGGCAAGCACGTGCATGCAGCTCCATTTGTGTGAGTGGCGGGCATGCACGTACACTGCTCACGCAAATGTACCATGCATACACGTGTTCAGCTGCTGCTCACGCAAGTGGGGATGCACATGTGCATGCTTGCCACCACTTCCACAGTCCGATTCCAAACAGCTGAAGGCCCGGTAGTGAGCCATGACTTGGGGGGTTGGGGACCTCTGTGTTAAAGGTTAGGGTTAGGGAAGCTGCCTTTGCAATTGACTGATGGGGATTTTTTCAATGCCAGTGGTGTTCAAGGGGTGCTTCAGATATTTTGAGATTATGCTTAAGGCATATATTGGTGCTTTGCTTTCTTTTGCCAGTTGTTCTACTTCTATTTGCAGGTCTTTATGTTTTGTGACTTTCTCCCATTCTTCTGCTCTCTCTAGGTACCGCCATGTCCCCTATCCAGACTTTTTTGTCTTCTTATCAACAATTGTTAAGTTTGGATTGTTTTGTAGCAGGTGCTTATCTGTTTGAATTCTAATGTCCCAGATCACTGTTTTTATGTCTGTTTTGTGGTCCCACCAATTCTTGATTGCAGGCAAATGGCATTTCTTGCAGATCTTCTATTATTGGTTCTGTCATGCCATTGTTTGCACTCAGTCTGCATGATCTTTTGGCAGCAGCTAACTAGGTGGTCCAGTTTCATTCAATCAGAATACAGCTGGAAGAGACCTTGGAGGTCTTCTAGTCCAGCCCCCTGCTCAAGCAGGAGACACAATATCATTTCAGACAAATGACTTCTTAAAAACCTTGAGTGATGAAGGCAAACTGTTCCACTGGTCAATTGTCCTCACTGTTAGGAAGTTTCTCCTTAATTCCAGGTTTTTTTTCTCCTTCCATCCGTTGTTTCTTGTCTTGTCTTCTGGTGCTTTGGAAAATAAATTGACCCCCTCCTCTTTATTCAGCCTCTTTACAGAGGCAGCATTTGCTGTGTATTGCTGTCTTCTCAATTCTGGCTGTGCATGCATTTGTTCTTAAGGCTTAGTCTTGGGCAGCCAGAATTATCTCCTCTGTCTCTTTCTTCAGCTTTCCTGTTCTTAGCCATTGCCGGGACTTGTTGTTACCTGCTTTGCCTGCTAGCTTTTTTTAATGTACTGGCCAAGTAATATTTGCAATATTTTTTTTCCCCATTCTTCATTTGGTCCATTGTAGGCCAGTTTGGTCTCTCCCATATTCAGTAAGCCTTCCTAGTACTGTATACTCGTTTCAATGCATCTTCTTCACTGTCTTTCAGAGATTCTTCCAATGCCCTTTTTTCTTCTTCAGCTGTCTGGCGTACTTGCAACATTCCACGCTCACTTATTTTCCTTGATAAGTAAAGTCTGTCAACACCTACAGTATGTGTGAATGAAGGGCATAATTCATTACCATTATTTTTCTGGCATTCCTATCCAGGGCGTTTAGTTCTGCTTGAGTCCAGTCTACTATTCCAGCTGTGTATCTATGACAGGAATTGCCCAGATGTTAATTGCCTCAATAGTATTTCCTCTATTGAGTTTGGCTTTTAAGATTTTCTTCACTCTAATCATGTATTTATGTTTAACCTTTTCTTTACTTCAGTGTAGCTGTTATTGTCAGTTTGAAGGATGCCCAAGTATTTGTAGTGATCTTCTTCATCCAGGCTCCAGAGTTATTTCCATAGGATATCTTGATTCCTTTAGTTTTCACTTTTTTTCTCATGTTGATGGTAAGATGCACATTTGTCCATTCCAAACTCCATTGCAGTTTTGTGGTTGTATATATCAGTGTTTCTCAACCTTGACAATTTTAAGGCATGTGGACTTGTTTATTCCAATGCTGGCTGTGGAATTCTGGGAGTTGAAGTCCACATGCCTTAAAATTGTCAAGGTTGAGAAACATTGGTATATATGGACAGTGCTGAGCATAAATTCTATTTCAGATTATGTTTTTCCTTACAGCTTCAGCTCATCCATGTAATGGAGGTGGGAGAGCCTGGCGGATGTTTTTAATGTTTAATAGCCATGGCCTAATTTGTTCAGTATTGTTGAAAAAGGAATCAGTGCAATGACAAATAGTATTGGTGATAGTGAATCTCCTTGAAAGACTCCTCTCTTGATATTAACTTCTCCCGGTCCATCATAATTGACCGGCAACCGTGTCTTCCATTGTGCCACTGATCTTTGCACAAAATTTCTGATGTTTCTACTGGCTGTTATTATTTCTAGGCATTTGATTATCCAATCACATGCCAAGGAGTTGAATGCCTTCTTGTAAGTGCTCTTCAGTTCAGCACAACTGAAACAGAGGCTCTGTAGTGACCCACACAAACTTCAGTGCACTACAAACCAGCAGCAAAGGCTGGTGGGCTAAAGACCACAGGGTCTTTCCCACGTTGCCCCCCTCTGGGATGCATCACCATTCCATCCCTCTCTGGTTGCTTCAGATGTCAAAGGCCCAGAGCTTCAAAATAGGAGCAAGGATGGGGCCAGCCTTCTCATATGTGTCTCCTGGGGAAAGAACAAGAGCACCTTCTGCACCACATCAGCCGATGGACCATGCCTGGTCATGAGCTGTTATTTTTGTAGTTCAAATAAACAAGAAGTGCCACTGATCCCAGCCCTCCTTCAAGCATGGAACGCACATACTTGCCTTCCAGGTGACCTGGATGCTTTGGGATGTCATTGGCTGCAAGGTGACATCTAATGGGGGACCATCAGGAGCTGAAAGAGTGGAAATCACATTACACATGGCACAGTCAGATTCTTTCTTTGTTCCCAGTTCTTTAAAGGTAGAAAAAAGAAGTGGCTGAATGTGAAGTATTTCTGACAGTGGCTTTGCATGCCTGTGGCTCATGCCTCCGAAATGCCAAGGAAAAAAAGACCTAGTGGGATGGATTTAGGCATCTGTTCTACAGACTTCAGAGATGGCAGAAGTTGCTTTAGCTTGCTGTGAAGGGGGTAGGGTGGGGAAAGACCAGTAGTGAAGACAGCAAGCAACAGAGCAACTGGAAAACCCACAAAGTTCTTCAGCTCAAAGAGTGAACCTCAGAGAATGCTGGAGATGATACCCTATATTGAAAAATAATTATTCTGTGGCATTTTGGAAGACAGACCTGTTTATTTGATATGAGTCATTTCATCAGATAGATTCTATTCAACCAATGTTTTTATAGGCAAGCTTTTAAAGAGAGACCAGGCCCAGTTCTTTCTGAAGAATGGATTAACCCGATTAACCCACAGCTCAGCTCAGGAAGGGAGCTTCCTGATAGGACCAGCCCAAGGAAACAAGCAAATGGCTTTTGCGTCAAGGAACAAGGACTTCTGCTAACTTGACAAGGTCATGTGCACTCACACCCACATGGTTGCCATAGAGGCTTAAGCATCCCCCCCCCCCACCCATACAGGCACAAATCTTGTCTATGGAGCAAAGACTTTTAGGTGACAACAACAGACTCTTGGCCAGAAAAAGGGTGGTGGGCAAAGAAGAAATGGGTCTTAAGCACAGATAGCAATTGTGTGTTCTTAACCTTTATGACTTCCTCTTTCTCACACTTTGCCCATCACCTTATTTGTTTCATAAATTATCTTGTGGATACAGTCCTGAGGTGAATGGGCACCTGCTTCCTCTGTGCTGATGGTCAGATCCTTGCTTGGCTCACTGCGGCCAATCTTGTTGAATGAAAACATGCGGATGCTGTATACGGAGGCTGGGTGGAGATCCACAATATTGGCCTGGTTAATGGAGGGAGAGATGTTCCGGGTGGATTGCTTAAAGTCCCAAGAATCTGGAATAAACAGAATGGTTGTGGGATTATTTGTTGATCTAGAGTTCCAAGTACAGCTGTGTGTTTATGACATTTTGAAACCACAAATAATTCAGAAGGTGGGAAAGGGTGTCAAGAAGCTTTACTTTTGAGCTTTCTGCTCACACTTCTAAAATTGTATGCTCCTCAGAGGCTATAGGTTAAAAGACAGTAATAAGTCAGCCAAAGTAGTTGCACAGAAAAGTTAAATAATGTCAACCAATAAATAACAAATAGCTATGGCTATCAAACATCAAAAAGATCTCCCAGACTATCCCACCTTCTTTACATGGATGATTTGAAACTGTATGTGAAATAGAATCGCTGCTGAACACAGCCAAACTTTTGCAAGGGAATTTAGACTGGACAAATGTACCATGCTTACCATCAAACAAGGAAAAATAGTGAAAACTGAAGGAATAACATCAAGAATCTGGATGAAGACAATCACTACAATACCTGGGCATCCTTCAGGCTAACATCTACACTGAAGTAAAGAAGAAGGTTAAATATAAATAACATAATTAGAGTGAAGATCTTAAAGTCCAAACTCAGTGGAGGAAATACTATCAAGGCAATTAACATCTAGGTAATCCCTATCATTAGATACACAGCTGGAATAGTAGACTGGACTCAAGTAGAACTAAAGGCTTTAGATAGGAAGGCCAGAAAAATAATGAAAAGAATCATGCCCTTCATCCTTGGAGTGACATTGATAGACTCTACTTACCTAGGAAAATAGTTGGGCCTGGAATGCTGCAAGTACAGCAGACAGTTGAAGAAGAAAAAAGGGCATTGGAAGAATATCTGAAGGACAGTGAAGAAAATGCACCGAAACTAGTATACCGGGAAGGCTTACCAAGTACCAGAGAGACCAAACTGGCCTACAAGAAAGACCAAATGAAGAACAGAAAGGAGGCATGGAAAGACAAAGCATTATGTGGCCAGTACATTAAAAAAAATTAGTAGGCAAAGCAGATAACAACAAAATGTGGCAATGGCTAAGAACAAGAAAGTTGAAGAAAGAGACAGAGGGGCTACAGTAATTCTGGCTGCACAAGCCTTAAAGAACAAATGCACAGCAAGCCAGAATTGAAAACATAGCAATAGATAGCAAGTGCTGCCTATGTGAAGAAGCTGAAGAAACAGTGGACCACCTGGTTAGCTGCTGCAAGAAGATTGCACAAACAACAGCATGACAAAATAGCAACACTGGTGCATTGGAAGATTTGCAAGTAATGCCATGTGCCTGCAAAGAAGAACTGGTGTGACCATAAAATAAAGTAATAGAAAATGGAGAAGCTAAAGTGCTCTGGAACTTTAGAATTCAAATGGACAGGCATCTGACGCACAACAGGTCAGACTTAACAATTGTCCATAAGAAGGACAAAAACCATCTGGATAGTGGATGTGGCAGTATCTGGAGATAGTAGAGAAAGAACTGGGAAGATAACAAAATACAAAGAGAAATAGAAATGAGACAATTGTGGCAAACAAAAGCAAAGATGCTACCAATAGTATTGGGTGCAATCCCAAAACAACTGGAGCACCACTTGAACACCATGGGCATTGACAATTGCAGCTTTACTTAGAACAGCTGACATCCTGCAATGATATCTGTAATATCTTCAATCATCCACTTTGGCCTATCCCAGATCCTTCCAAAGGACCTGATAGATGGATAAAAATGCCAAATTCAGTCTGAACATCTGGCTGACTATGCGAAGAACTATAAATAAATAATAAAAAAAATTTTCAACATGTAAAAGTAAAGGTTTCCTATCCAGTCGTGTCTGGCTCTAGGGCGTGGTGCTCATCTCTGTTTCTTGTCCGGGGAAGCCAGGGTTGTCCAAAGACATTTTCTATGGTCATGTGGCCAGCAGGGCTATACACCAAAGATGCACAGAATACTGTTACTGTCCCATCAAAGTTGTACCTATTAATCTACTCACATTTGTATGCTTTCAAAATGCTAGGTGGGCAAGGCGCTCAAGTCTCCAACCTGGGCTGTCAGCTTTCCAGCTGACAAGCTCAGCATCTTTAACCACTGAGCCATTGTGCCCCCTTTTTCAACATGTAAGAAACAAGAAAAAAAGTCAAGGAAATGATCACTAAAGGGAGAAAGATGGCAAGGAAGTGATGGGTAACAGGTAGAAAATGGAACTGCCTAATCCATTTTTGCCTCTGTTGAACCTATCAAAAGGAGTACAGTAGATGGCAGAGTAGGAATACAAGTCAAATTAGGCAAGAAAATGGTAAGACATCACCTATGAGTTCAAATCGCCAGACCAGATGGATTGCATCCCAGAGTTCTGAAGAAGCTAGCAGAAGTGATCTCGGAACCACTGAACAAAATCTTTCAAAGCTCCTGGAGAACCAAGGAAGTGCCAGAGGACTGGAAAAGAGTTCATGTAGTTCCAGTCTTCAAAAAGGAAAAGAAAACAGAATCTAGGAAACTAGAGGCCAATCAGCCTGACAATAATACCTGGGAAAATCCTGGAAAAAGATAATCAAGCAGTGGATTTGCAAAAACCTAGAAATGGCAAAGTGATTACTAGAAGCCAATATGGGCTTGTTAAAAACAGATTATGCCAGACAAATCTTGTTGCCTTCTTTGACAAAGTGACTAAAAAAAAAAAAAAAAAACATCAGGGAAATGCTATGGACATAGTTTACATAGACCAGTAAGGCAAAAAAAAAAATGTGGAATAGACAGCATTACCAGCAGATGGATTCACAACTAGCTGACCAACCACACTTGACACGGAATCCTCAATAGAACTGCATCTACGAGTGTTCAGTGTTCAGCAACACTGAACCTTTACTTGCACCTCTTCCAAAACCCATTTTTCCTGGCACTTTTTTCCTGCCACATTGTTCGAGGCCAGCCAAGCCAGCATTCTATTCAAGTTGAATTTCTCCCATTTTCTCAGTACAGGTAGTCGTCAACTTATGGCCACAATTGAGTTCAAACTTTCTATTGCTAAGTGAGTTTCCCCCATTTTATAACCTTTCTTACCACAGTTGTTAAGTGAATCACTGCAGTTGTTAAGTTAGTAACATGGTTGTTAAATGAATCTGGCTTTCCCATTGACTTTGCTTGTCAGGTGGTCACAAAATGTGATCACGAGACCCCGGGACACTGAAGTTATCGTAAATACATGCCAGTTGCCTAGCATTCCAATTCTGATCAGATGACCCTGGGGATGCTGCAATGATCATAACTGTGAAAAACGATCATGTCACTTTTTTCAGTGCCGTTGTAACTTGGAAAGGTTGCTAAATGAATTGTTGTGAGTCGAGCAGTGGTGGCGAACCTATGGCATGCGTGCCAGAGGCGGCACTCAGAGCCCTCTCTGTGGGCACATGCACCATGGCCCGGAGATTGCAACTGTCCCTCTTCAACCAGCCGCCTGCTAACTCAATGAGGTCCCACATGGCTAAATGCATCCCAGCACCCATGCGCTCGCTAGCCTCTGTGTGCGGGGGCTGATGGTGTCAGGCAGCAGCCGCCCCGGCCCCTGCCTCATCTTGCCCTGTGACAATGGCACCCCCACCCTGCCTCGCCTTGCCTCGCCTCACCCTGCAGGACAAGCCTACTGCCCACCACCCCACCTGCCAGAGACCCCCTGGATCTCCTCCAACCTGCCCAGTCCCCACAGGCGTCCCTCCCCACAAGGAACATCAAGATGATCACGCCCACCTTGGCCACGCCCACCCAATCTGCCATGACCACCACAGCCACGCCCACCTGGCACACGGCAATAAATAAGTGGGTTTTGGGTTGCAGTTTGGGCACTCGGTCTCTAAAAGGTTCGCCATCACTGACCTATAAATGACATGTGGTTTTTTTTTCATGCATGTGAATCTTAAGCAAGGCATTTCCCAGTTCTGGTTTCCATTCAGAACTTCATTAGTTCTGCTCACCAGACTTATTCTTGTACTCAATATCAAAACCTGTGATGATGCTGTTGCCATCAAACCTCTGAGTCCACCGTAAGTTCATACTCCGGGCTTTCACTTCTCGGATCTCCAGTTCTGGAGGGTCTGGTGGCTCTGGGGAGGGACAGAAGGGCAGCAGTAAGAAATAGGAAATGCTACCCCCACCCCACCCCCCACCCCATGCACAGCATACAAAAAGCATACACCAGACACCCGGAAAATGCAAGTTGGAAAAATTAGCAAGAAGGGTAGAGGTGCCAAGAAGGACTTCCACATTCAGTAGGTTTTCTTGAAAATGCAGGTAAAAATAGGTTAGCGAATTGAACAATATCTCAATATATATCAAAGAGTGAATAAATTAAAATTGCATATCCAGCAAATTGCACAAAATGTAAAAGCTGAGAGGGACAAAAGACCATTTTGGAAGGACCACTGCATACCAGATGGTGGATGAAGGATGACTTGGACCATTGCTAAGGGCAGCGCCAAAGAGCCCGGTGTGGGTCACTGAACTACTTTCCATGGCAGCTCAGTCCAATCAGGGAAATTTGCCATGCCTCAAAAGCCCCTGGCTAGTTCTCCTGAGACACAAAGCAGAACGGAGGCCTTTTGAATGGGAGATCAGCAGCTCCCCATCTTCCAAAATTTGGGCACTGTTTGGGGGGGGGGTGGAGGAGGAAGCACCCTTCCATCCATGTTCATATCCTGCTTTTTCAGGAAATTGTCCATGAAAAATTAGAAATTGGGCTGACTCCCTTAGGTTTTTATTGCTAATAGCAGCTTTTCTAAAATGTGGTCAGTGTTCTGCCACCCTCAAAGTAGCACTTGTCATAAACTGGGGATAACCCCAGCAGAAATTACACACAAAAGCCACCAGCAGTGTCTGAAAGGTCTCCACAAAAGGCACCATTGCATACATGCATACACATCCGACAAAGACCAATACCTTGTACAGTAAGCTGAATAAGTCCTCGGTCTTCACCATAGGAGTTGATCGCATGGCAGGAGAAAAAAACAGAGTCTCCTCGTTCAGCAGGCTTGAGCTGTGGACAAGGCAACATCAGCTGAAATCTCAATGCCATTCTCTGAAAGATCTCTAGACAAGGCAGCAAGTTGGAGTTTTCAGCAGCAAAGGAAAGTTGCACCCCCTATTGCATCCAAGAGTGATCCAAAGCTCCAGGCTAGCTATGGTCTCCCTTGCCACAAATAGCAATACCACTTAGACTTATATACCACTTCACAGTGTTTTACAGCCCTCTCTAAGCGGTTTACAGAGTCAGCATACTATCCCCAACAATCTGGCTCCTCATTTTACCGACCTGGGAAGCATGGAACGCTAAGTCAATCTTAAGCCGGTGAGAATCAAACTGCCGAACTTCTGGCAGCCGGCAATCAGCAGAAGTAGCTTGCAGTACTGCATTTTAACTACTGCACTACCATGGCTCCCAGCATGTTAAGGGCCCAGCTGCAGCCCTGCCCATACCCACTCGACACTGCAGCTGTGCTTCTTACTTTGAGGGTAGAGATGACCTCATCACTATTATCCTTCGTAGCAATGGTGTATCGGATGTTTCGGTCAGGATCGATCACAGTGTCCCCTTTCTCCCAACGAATGATAATGGGGCGCTCACCACGAGCTGTGCAATTCAGCTCTTTAGCCTGGCCCTTGATGGCAATGGTGGTGTTGGGGTGGGAGGTGATCATAGCTGGGACTGCCAAGAGAAGAGAAGCAAGCTGTGATTGCCAAGAGAAGAACCTCAAAGAAAAGGAGTAGATGCTTCAAAAACCCTTCAAGACCATCATCAGAAATTCTGTTTATGCCAATTTCTGAAGGGCAGGAACAGAATAGACAGGCTTTTGGCCAATCTAGTTAATTAACCAATTTCTATACTACCTTCAAACTGATTTAATATAAAGCATAACTGAAATAAAGAAAGAGGAATTGAAATACAAATTGCTATAAATTAAAAATAATTCTATGTAAAATATTTTCAGAGACATAAATACGAAGTTATGAGAGGGACAGAGCAGGGAAGGAAATACTTTCATACAAAAAATGAACCAATCACACTCCTATAATGCATACAGGGAAGTCTGTTGAAGTCTCTGTTGCTTGTAATGTTTTCCTCTGAATCAGAACATTCAGGCAGGAGGAGGCGATAATACCTGAGAAGGACTTAGATTATTTTTGTATTATACCGTAACTCCCTGAAAAGGGAAACTAAATGAGCATCTAAGGAACTTGAACAGCGCAGCTGGAAGTTTAAAGATCTGGCGATTGCAGCAGGGTCCTGCCCTTTGGGGAAGCAAGCTCAACAAACCTTCCAACAGTATGGGAAAAGCACCCTCAGTTGGACAAACAGCACCTTTGAGGCATTCCCTTCACCAAAGAGCTCTATGTTGGGATATTTATCCACCCTTGCAACCCAGAGCTTAATCTGATGAGCAAAAAGGATCTGAGTCACCAGAGAGCTTTGTGGGTCACAAAGGCAGCCATGATGAAGGCTTAAGTTCCCCAGATCTGCTGCACTAGAGAGCATGGAGAAAGATCTACTATAGAGCGCTAATCAGGGGACTCCTGTTTGGAGAGATTATCCTGCTTTTCTCTTCCAAATGTTACACAAGGAGGCTAACGCAAACACGGAAAATGAACAACAGTATTATAACAGTGAGATGAGAAGCATATAAATTTAATAAATAAATAAACCAGCGCTTAAAGAAAAATCAGTCAAGAGCACCCACTCTTGCTTCTCAGAGACACTCTCCCCCCCCCCCACTTGCCTTTCTTCCCCCAGAGGCTAGTCACAGGGGGAAACCGGTCCAGGAAAGAGAAACAAGGGGGAATCCATGATTCCTTTCCACCTAGCATCCACTTGGTGGAGGAAGCCACCAAGACCCCTGGCATTCAGATGCACATCCACAAATGACCAGAACTGCCCAAAGAAACCCCACTCCCAGCCGCAGAGAGGCTAAATACTCTCTGGCTAGATACTGCCTGTTAATTCTTAGCGAAGGAGTGAGAACATGAACCAGGAAGGAACTCCCCTGTCTTCCACCATAGTTCAAGTGCATGGAATAATGAAGCAGGCACAATATATAATGCACATCTGGATCCACAATAAATTGTAAAAGACAAATAACCAAGTACAAGATTTAATCATGAAAAAGCTGCAGCCAGGGTGAAGCCCATATGAATTATTGACTAAGGTTTTTTACTTTCAAGGATGTGCCGTGGAATACTTTTCAAACAGGGATCTGCATAATTTCCTCTGAGGAACTGGGCAGAACACACACGAGGGAGGTTTTACAAGAGAGAGGCTTGGCTTGTGAGGGAACGCAAAGATAAAAAGCTCACGAAGGGGCCTCCTTTCATTCCAGGAGCTCAAAAGGTGGTCAGCAGCTGCTGACATGAAAGCTGTGACCAAGGCCAGCACCTAATTGGGCAGTTGTCCAGAGTTTCCAGCTATGGTCAAAGGGAACCTTTTCACACTTTGGTCATTTTGATCAAATGGGCCTTAGCAAAGCAGAGGGATCTCTGTTGCTTTCTTTAGCTGCAATTGACAGAATTCCAGAGCCTCTGTGTAGTGCAAACATCAGCTGAGCTGAACCAGCAAGACAGTCAACCTGCAGCAACTGTTCACAGCTTCTGAACTGGAGGGGGGGAGAATCGACAAAAGGCAAGGCAAAGCCATCTCCAAATAACACACACACACACACCGACAGACATGCAGAAGCAGGTTGCATTGTCAGAGCCTAGCAGCGCATGGGACTTCTCAAACATTGGTGGTGGAAAGTGAGAAGTTGCAACGACCTGCTTTCTGCACAAGAGCCTTGGGTCAGGCCACAAGACAGTTTGCTTCAGTGAGCACAAAGCCCCATTGCTTCTTTTTAGGCTGGAGACTCAGCCTGGAGTTGCATGTGCCCTTCCCAGAGCATTGAGTTTGAATGATCTTCCTGCTGGACATGGGGGACAGGATTCCCAAAGGTCTGTGGGAGGCTGCCCACACAGGGACAGCTGCAGGGCAGGAAGCTTGATTGAAGAGCTCAGGGCATAGGAGACCAGGTGAGCAGCCAAAATCTGAGTTTGTACAGTAGATGGAGGAATGGATGGGCTCCTTTTCACCGCGGGCCAAGTTGAAGGGGGCATTTTTCTTCCCCCTTTTCTGCTCTCCATTGCTCTTGCATGGGCTGCTTTGGCTGCCAGCTGCCTGTGCCAAGGTCCCCCCACCCCCACCCCTCAGCTTCCACAGCAGCTTAGCCTGCCCATTAAGCTTCGGAAAAGATTCCAGTGGCAGCCAGAACCTTTTGCTCATCACAGGGGCAGTTGCCACGAAGTCACGCTACCACATGCTAACCCCTCCTCTTCTTCCTAATCCAAAAAGGATGGGGGGGGGGAATGTTGAGTATGCAACCAGACTGGCTCAGGGGGCAGAGATTAAAAAAAGGCACAGCTTATCCAAAGAGTGTGGTAATGTATGGTAATGACAATCAGCAAAGGCAACACACACAGTTCTAATGGGACACTGGGGGCTTTAATGAGCTACAGCTTCTCCACTTTCCATGGCAATCTAATTCAATTAGCAGCTGGGAAAAGGCTGACTTTCAGCTTGCTCCCATTAGCAGCATGTGGACACAACGAAGGGCGGACTGTGACGCCACATCGCCGCACAAACAATTTTGTGTGTAGAACTGGAGTGCCACATAACCTGCTGGCTGAAGAGGGGAGGCAGGCAAGGGCAAGCAAAAGAACAGTGTGCATTTAATGCTGGCCATTCAGTTGGGAAAGTGCCCACTTGGGCAATTTAGCAGAACAGAAACTGCAGGGCAGATGGCCCAAAACAGCGCCATGAATCCCGAGAGAGTGAGAAGGATCAGAGGCAAAAAAGGAGAGAGAACCAGGAGGGTGACTTGGAGCCCAACTGGGGGCATATGAGTGGCAACCAGCAAGGGGAAATCCCCTCTCAGGTATGCCTATTGGCCAGTCACAACCTTCTTTTGGAGATGGCCCAGATACCACCCTTTCCATGGATGAAAGAGACCTTCTCCTTCCCAAACATGTGCTGCTGTGCTGATAACTGCAATGGTTAACCATAAAGGGTATTTTGGGGGGAATGTGGGTTTTCAGTAAAAGAGGGACCCTTTTAGCCTTCTGGAAGACGTGAAGACCTGGTTCTTCCCTCAAGCACTGAACTAGGATGGGAAATTGAGCTGAGAGGAAGTTGGGCCTAGCACCGCAGAGGGAGGGTACTTCTTAAACAATATTTTATGGATTATTTGAACAGCTTAGGGTAACTGTATGAGATAGGCAGCGATGTAAATCCTCTAAATGTATATGTATTTTAGACAAATTAAGAACTTACTGGCCTCAATTTTTGGCTTGGTTACTAGCTCAAACCATTTGAACTAAGCTCCCAACCAACACCCCCACAAAGCAGAAAATTATGCCATACCCCAAAGCCTGTCAGCTCTAATGTTTATCTTAAGAGCCCTCCCCAATACCCCAGAGAAAAAAACTGGAGCTGGGAAAGCAAAAAGAAGCAACCCACTCTCATGTGCCCATTGCCCCCTGATGGCTCTTAAAAGCTGTCTAGAACCTTGAATGGTTGTCAAGGCCACTGCTAGTTATACTCATCCCTGACTCCCAGAAACTATTTTTCTATTCAAAATGGGCCCTGGGGTCACCGTCTTCTAAGTTATATCAGATAAGGAGACAGCAAGAAGGCTCTGAAGATCATCCAATAGATTTGAATAATGGGAAAGTCGGGTTAGGAAAAGGACCTTTTCAGAGGACACATAAGGAAATGAATTCCCTGCCATGAGCAAGGCTGGTCCTAGACTCCTACTGGAATGCTGTTTGGTACTTGAGAAGAGAGTGTTAGTGCAGTACAGCAAAGGGGAAGGCAGACATTCCGTGTGCCCACCAGCCCTTCATTGTGAAAGAGTAGACCACAGGCATGCCTCTGGAGGTGAGCTCTCCCCACACCCCATCTGTTCCATCTCTCCTGAAGAAGCAAATTTTGCAAAAGGCCATCACCCCACCCCCCAAGCACACCCTTTTCAGGCTCTTCATTTTGGTGTCTTGTGAACAAGTTGCAGACAAGAAGCTAGTTTCATTGGATAGTCTGAGATAAGGCAGCTACAAAGGGAATTGTCAGTGTTTGGGATATTCCTCCCTCCCAAGTCCCACTAGAGCATAGCAGCAAATAAAATAGGAACAGAGTACTGAAAGGGAAGAGAGCCAAAGCAAACATGGGCGTGGTCTTAAATGCAAGCTCTGTGATGTTAATTTGATTGCACCCTTTTCAGCTTCTTGTCTACCCTGATTAGCTGCATTTCACCTGAAGCATGAGATTAATTTAAAATGCATGGAAGCAATCAGTAATGCTTAGACAGTGAGGCCACCTTTCCAGCCTTCGTGCACCTGCTGACTACCAGAAGCATGTGAGCAATGACTGCAAAATGGGTAAAGGCCCTATTATGGCCTTGGGACAGCTCTCCCCCCCCCCCAGTCTCGCTGTCAGTGCCAAGAGTATGGCATGAGTAGAACATAAAAACTGAAGAGGGAGATTTCATAACCTATAATCATCTTAGGGGGAAGGTCTTCCTAGAACCATCAGAATAATGACTGACAAGTGGGGGAAATAATTAGGCTCATGCAAAACTCCAATGCAAGGGATGAAAGGAGGGATTTAGTGCCACTAGGGTACTTCTCCTGGTGGCAAGACCAGAGAACATTGCCCAGCTGTTTCACATGTCTTTCTATTCGCCTGTCCCCAACTGTTCTGGGCTTCTCGATGGGATGTGTGCTATTAGGGATGGCTGTCTCTTGCCTCCCATCAAGATCAGCTGAGGGCCTGGTTTTATTAAAGTCAACGTGTCCCAGGAGAACATCCCCTTCCTTGCATACTGACTTCCAGGACTGCAAGAGAAGTACTAGAAGTGAACCTTGCCAGAGTAACTGAAGTGCCAACAGGTGGCCAATCTGATATGCTAAGCACACAGTATCTGTGATCAGAGATTACTTGGGTGACAAGCCCAACTAATGAAGCAACCAAGACCTTGATCAGAGGGGCAAAATAACCTGGCAAATAGTGTAAAGGAGGGATATCAAGTGAACAACTTTTATATTCAGGAGGGGGGCTAATAGATGCACAAAACATCTAGGAATGGCCCCATCCCATGAACAAAAGCAGTCTCTTGGTTGCCCACAAAAACTGTAGTTCACACAAACTGTGCTCTCCCTGAGAGAAGGGCAGGCATGGCTGCCTCACTCACTCTTCACGGTGAGAAACATGGACTTGCTGATGTCTGTCCCAACCCCATTGCTGGCCTGGCACAGGTAATAGCCGATATCTTCTTCTAAAACATGCCGGATGAGCAGCGAACTGTTTGGCAGGATCTGGATGCGGCCTGTCAGGGGGACAGGGTGGTACTGCTGAGGGTTCCCACTGCCTGGAAGAAAACAACAAAGAGAAAAAGGCCCCTAAATGGATGGGGAAAGACCTGACCAAGCCATCCACCAGGTCACCTCTGATTCTCTTCTCAATGCTGGTCTGTCTTCTTCCAGCTGTGGATCAAAGTCCCTGCTCCATACACTTTGAAGGCGTAGCCCCCTCCCCTGCAGCCCCAAAGGAAAGATCTCACAAACCTTTAGCGTGTTTCCACATGACTTTGGGAGGGGGATACCCATCCACTGAACAGTTCAAGACCCCAGCTTTGCCATAGATCCCATCCTGATTGTTGGGCTGGACCACAAAACGAGGAGGCACTGTGGAACAAGGGAACAGGTGAGGAACAGCACAGGGACATTCCCAAAACCTTCCTTCATTCGTGGATCCTTTACTGCCAGTTTTTCCCTTCACTTCAGTATTCCCATCCCATCTCCTTCCCTTATCTGGCTTAACATCTCAAAAATGCCAGGCCTGAAGAAATGCTGAAGAGAGAAGTGGCCCAGCCCCTTCCTGGGCAGTTTCTAGGAAGCCAACCAGACCAACCTTGGGAGCCATCAGGGTTTTTCCCCACTAGGCTCCTTACCTCGCACTATCAACTGCCGCTCTCGGCTAATGGTGGCAGCGGCATTGCTGGCAATGCAGGTGTAATTGCCGTTGTGCTTCAGGGAGACGCTGGAGATCTGCAAGGAGCTCATGAACTCCTTGCTCTCAATGGTGATGCCAGGGCCTGAGACAATCACCTGCCCGTCCTTCCTCCAAGTGATGCGGATCGGCATGTCACCCGAAGAGACCACACATGGAATGTACAGGAGCTGCCCAATGGAGGCCGGGGGGAACTCAAATGGCTGGATAAGAGGAGGAACTGTCAAAAAGAGTAATGTGTTGGACACCACTGACCTCTGGAGGGTGGAAAAGCAGGAAGAGGTCACCCAGTGCAGCCCATGGTTCGAGGAGAAGCCTGCTCAGACAATGGAGAGAGATTCTGCACAGTGACTGGGAGCTTGGAAGTAGCTCTGGGGGACCAGGGGAACTCTCAGCCACAAGTTCAGGGGGCACAAAGTCCTTTTTTAGCCACAGCTCTCCCTTCATGGAAAATCTTACCTATTTTGCAAGACAGTTGCAAGCCCTCATGGCATACTCAACCTTGGTGAACAGCAGATTTGTAAAAGAGCAAGAACCTGAATATTGATGGACAGCAGATAATTCTTTGCTATGGAGAAATCCTTACCCATTAGAATATACAGGACTTACAGGAACACTTCACTACCACTAAAAAGGAAAATTCTCACATTGAGAATGTGGCTAGAAACCATTATGCAAGCACAAGAGAAAGAAAGCTACAATCCAACAGCTATGAGTTGTCCCATTTGAAAACAAGGTTAGTTACTAGAATTCTTGTATAAAACCATTTTCCTAATAAATCTTATTAATCTGAGCTACTTTGCTGGTCTTCTGCAATCCTGACTGTGGCTTGGAAGATCTGATAACCTCTTAGATCCAGATTGTTTTCTGGTATTTTCAGAAAATATCTTGCACCAAAACTGTTGGTTCTCTCTAATCCTCTCTGCGACAATTGATGCAATCGTTCCTGGGTGCCCTTTCCCTGCTGAGGGAGCTGCGCAGGTCCCTTGCTCTTCCCAAGGAGCCCATGATGATGAAAGGGTAGACAAAGGGCTAGAGAGACCCTGGTGGAAGGTTCAGTATGAATTGAATGAAAGCTCACCCCATTTCAAGGCCTATGGCAGCCTCACAAATACCTTTGATCATCACTGCTGGAAATGTTTCCTACTATTTTGAGATGAGAAATTCATATCAATTAGAGGCAAGTCCTAAGACAGATGGATCAGTCAAAACACACACACAAATCTAATTACTCTCCCCAAACTGCCCCACACGTTTGACATGGCCCCATATAATTTGCCACAGCACCCACAAAACGTGTGAAACGTTTGCCCACACACAGGGCTTTGTGAGCTTGTGGGCAAAAGAGATTCATTCATTCAATCAAAAGATTTTAAGCATAATAACCATCTTAATAATCCTGAGTGACCGATTTCTGGATGGTGAAGAACAGAGCCAGAATGACTTCCTCCAAGATAAGAGTGGTTTGGGCTCTAAACAGGGTCTTCTCTCCTACTTGGAGGCACTCCACAAGCAGAGGGTCTTTCTAGATTCAGCCCTTGCTGGAGGACCAAGGGCAGCTGTGGTGAGGACTTTTGCACAGCTGCTTCCTCTGCACCAATTGTGTCTCCTCCTGGATCAGGATGCTCAGTCACTCTAGCTGCCTCCTGCTGGGTGAATGTGTTATGCTTGGCACAGAGCTGTCCTTGAACACCTTCCGGAGCTGTAGCTGGTACAAAATGAACAGCCTGGGCAGAGATGGTGTTTCCCATTATATTAGACAGCTTCCGGAGGTGTCCTAGATTCCAAATAGCTTCTAAGTGGGATTCAACGCACTAATCATCACTTTTAAGGTTCTATATGGCTCTGGGATGGATTATCTTTGGGAGCATCTTCTCTCTTATTTATCTGTCTGTCCAATCCAATCAAATAGGGTTATCTTCTTCCAGATCCCATTTCCTGTGAATATTATCTGACGAGACCCAGGAATTTTTGATCGCTGCCCTTCGGCTTTGAATCTCCTTCTTCCCATGGATATCTGGCCTACCTCTTCTCTCCTGGCAGTTCTGAAAGGCAGTTAAGACCTGGCTCTTCCACCCAGCCAGGAGGAAGGCATGCTTTGACCGATTGGATTTATTGGTGGAAACAGCATTCCTAACCATAGAGATGTCAAAATGTTTAAATGTATTGTGATGCCACAATGCTAGCTTCATTCTTTAGGATTTGCAATGCAGCTTCAGACAAAAGTTCAAAGAGGTGGAGTTTGCACCATGATGTATGTTCCATCATGTTGCTCCATTCCTGGTGGGCACTTATACCAAGAACCAAGGTGCTACATCTGAGCAACTCCTGACCCTCAAACATATCTGAGTTTTTCCTGTTCCTTAGTGGTTTACAAGAAAAATAACCAAACGAATACAAGTAACAAAATAACAAAAATATTGAATTAAATTAATTAAACCAAATGATTACCAAAGTAAGACTAAATGCCCTCCAGAAGAGAGTCAAGGTCGAGGCCACTCAAGGGCCACTGAGACAGGCCATCCCCACAGAAAAGCAGGCTGCTAAGCCTCAGCCTCTCATCTCCCTGAAGTAGGGAACGGCTGGCCTCCCATTTCTTGGGCTTTTAAGGCAGGCACAAAGAAAGATCTCCAGCTTCAAAACTAGGGCTTCCCCCTGCTCTGCCCTTTGGGGAAGGAAGAACCAGCAGGGCAGCTAAGAAATTTGCATAAAATCTGGCAGATGCAAAGAACTGTCCATGAGCAAGTAGGGAAGGGAACCTGAAGGCTGAGCCAACCTTGTTCACCTAAAGTCCAGGCAAACTTGCTTGAAAGAAGAAGGCCAGGGCAGCAGGAAACCATTAACAAGCAGCCATGAGTTGCTTCTCTGACACTTTCAAACCAGTCTATAGGATGCAAGCAGCCTGGGGGGGGGGGGGAAGCTGAACTCCCCCCTCCCACAACACTCAATCCCAGGGAAGCCAAAACAGCTGCTACACCTTCTCCAGAACTGCAGCAACTGCCTGCCAATTGCAAGCACTGGCACAGCTCAAAACCATCTCTGACCCCCCCCCCCCAGAAGTCCTTGCCCCCAAAATGTGGTCTGGCAAGGGCCAGTCCAGTCGTGAGCTCAAGCTGAGCAAGCCCTGGGGTGGAAAGTCAAGGCAAGCCCACCTCTTTTTCTGTTCCTAAGGGCTGATGGCTCCCCAAACAGAGCTAAATAATGGATGAATTGGAGAATGCTTACAATGTTCTGTGCGCTTGGCAGGATGAGAGAACGATCCTTTACAGAGCCGCAAACAGAGAAAGCCACTCCAAAGGTGCTCTGAGCAAAGGTCAGCTGTTTCAAAGTGGCATGCTTACATGGCACACTCGTCCACCTGACTCCAGAGCTTACTGTTGGAAATACTGTAGATCCCATGGATTGGGAGGTGGAGGAGAGAGTGGATCTGGACTGCAACAGCTGGGTAATCCTTTCAAGCAATTGAATGAAGCAGTGAAGAGTGATGTGAAAAGTAAATGCAAGGCAAGATTGTGAGCCCCAAAAGAAATGAAGGCTGGGTTCATCTGCTTTCCTTACCTGGCACTACCCACAATCCTTTCCAGGCAACTCAAGGAAGGTTTCAAGCAGAGTGTCTTGAACCACTTCAGTTTGGTTTATGTGAGCCAGTTACTAGTGTGTTTTTTTTGGGGGGGTTCCAATGGAGAAGAACAGGATTCATAGGTGGGAACTGGCTGAGTGGAGAGGTGGGGTTTGGGGGGGGGGGCTTTCCCCTGTTCAGCCTTTGGCACATTTACACAGAAAAAGGGGAGTGGCATAATACCACTGAAAATGCCAGATGAGGTCACCTGGGACTAAGGACCAGGTAGAGGTAGGACACACCACATGCCCACCCACCCACCACTGCTGCTGGAAACCTCTTTGGAGCACAGCAGCCTGCCAAGCCATTCCTGCTGATGGCTGCCTCTGCCCTTACCTGCTCAAAACCATTCCCCTCTTCCAAGAAACAAGTGCGCCACACATCTGGCTCTCTATCCCCTTCCTTGGCTGGCTATTTACCAATGGAAGCCCTTGCCCACAAGCCCACAAGCACACCAGGGTGCCATCTTTTGGAACTCCTGCCTGACCCTCTCCCAGGCATAGCCATAGACAGCATTATGGAGACCACATACCAGTCCTGCTCCATCTGCTGGCCAGCCATGGAACCCGTCAGAGGAGCGGCCTGGCCAGAGAGCAGGCCTGCCGTGGAAGGAGAAGTGTAAGAGTGCCAGGAAGAACTCCTACTTGTGGCTACCCACCTTTCACAGTGACATGGACGCTCTGGCTGATGGAGAGTTGCGGCTGAATGAGGACGCTGCAAAGGTATTCCCCTTCGTCCATCCCCTTCTGGACATCCATCAGCTTGAGAGTGCCATTTTCAAAGACCACTTGTCGGTGGTTGTCTGGCAGGAACAATGAGTCCTTATACCACTTAATTGAGTAATAAGGGTAGCCAATCACCCTGCAGTTGATGAAGGTGTCCCGGCCTGCCACAGCTGTGAGGTTCTTCATGGCACGAATGCTGGGAGGGCCTGAAGCAGGGGAGGAGAAAAAGGCAGGCTAGGGCAATTCAAGGAAAGGATGGCTCTGCTTCCAAGAAGGAGGAACGTGGGAGAGGGACCCTCACCCGTGCCCAGCAATATTTCTGTCAAGGTGGCTTTCTTCAAGTGACTTCAAACACTCCAAGTGACATGTCTGTAGAGATTCTCAGTCACCCAGGTCATGGCTATCCCAAAGGTGCTTTTTCAAAAGGCAACTGGATATTTTTTGCTTTGCTTGAAGACATTTTGCTTCTCATCCAAGAAGCAACTTCAGTTCTGTCAGAACTGAAGAAGCTTCTCAGATGAGGAGCGAATATTTTTCTCAAGAAAAAACTTGCTTTGCTTTGCTTTGCTTGAAGATGTTTCACTTCTCATCCAAGAAGCTTCTTCAGTTCTGACAGAACTGGAGAAGCTTTTCAGATGAGGAGCAAAATGTCCAGTCCAGTTGCCTTTTGAAAAAGCACTTTTGGAACTCTAGCAACAGCAAGCAACAACTCTGCCTTGCTGGTGGGCTATTTTATGAATGGTAAGCCTGAAGCTAGAGAGAGACTGAGTGCTTGTTGCCCTTCTGCTGGGCAAGAGCCAAAAGGCTTCCAGGCACCCCACAAAGAAGCACGGAGGAAGCATAGCAAGTATCCCAAAGAAATGCACAGGACACCGAACTGTGCTGCAGGAAACTAGGGAATGGCTCTTTCCAGCACACAGTGATCCTCCTAGGGTATTCTAAACAAGGCATCTGTCCTCTTCTATGGTCCCAGACTAGTTTCCAGCCTGCAACGGTTTCAGGAGGAAGAGTGTCTTCAGGAATCAAGGACACACCCTTTGCAAAGAACCAACATTTATTCTATGGGAACCATTTCTGAGCCAATTATTTTGCCCCCACAACCATAATTTTACAGCTTTCTCTAACTGGTATAGATGCCTCTGATTCAGGATAGAAAAGCAGGCACACCATTTTTAAACTTAAATAAAAAGGGAAGGGGTGCAATTTGGCTTAACATTACCAATTTTGCCAAGGGCTAGTGCGCAGAATGGCACTCTGCCATATCAGAAGGGAATTCAGCTCCATCTCCACCACCACTCGCCTTTTCTGCACTCCCACCCAGGTCCCATGGGGGCAACAGTCTACCCACGCTTTGCTTGGACAGGTGCGATCTGCATTCTCCCCCAGCACCCTCTGCTCTGCTAAAGGACATCCTATGGTGAAATTACACACAAAGGTAAGGGAACAAGGCAGAACAAACAGTACAACCAACCAGAAACAAAAAACAATGCAAGAAGAGCCTAGACTGATATTGAAAAGTAGACAGGCACCTCTTACGTTTATTCGCGCTTGGTATTCGGCACTGCCCACCGAGTTCCGCGCAGTACATCGGTAGACGCCTCCATCCCTGATGTGTGGGCCTGTCACATTCATGTGGCTCACAGTGGTGCCATCAGACATGGTGTACTGGTTGGTGCGGTGGCTGCCATCTCTCTGGATGGGCTCATCGTCCAAAGACCAAGTGATCGTGGGGGGAGGGGCTCCCTTGGCTGCACACATCAGGGAGAACTGCTCACCAGGGTTCACCACCTTCTCACTGAAGGAGGAGACAATCCGGGGGGTCCCATCTAGGAGAGAGAACACAGCAGAATGGTGGATCAACACAATTGTTCTTTCCATCCAAGCGCATCTTTTTAACAATAGGAGGACTGAAAAATGTTGAAGCACCACATTTCAAGCCCTAAATCTCAAAACATTCCCGAAAGCCTGGAAAGAGTAGGGCATAACTTTGTAGGCCCCTCAGCCTTTTACAGAATAAATACATTGTGAAACTATATTAGCCTTGCTGAACTAAAGCCCTCCCCGCCCTGTTCGACAGCTTCCAGCCCAATGATCCCCTTTCTTCCTTGTAGTAAATGAGAATTTACTGGAAACTCAAAAGTGGGACCATCAGGCAACATACCTCCCTTTTCTCTTATTATACCAGAGATTACAAAACATTATCCCAACTTTTCTTTTTTAGTTCTAACCCTTCATTATCAGAACATTCAGGGGTAGCGACGTCCATTAATTTAAATGTTGCTTGAAGAAGGTAGGCCTTTGCCCACCCTAAATGCTCTGTCATTCAGCTTCACTGCACAACCTAACTGCATTGTAGCTCTCTCTCCCTCTCCCCCCCTCTCTCTCTTCCACCCTTCCTCTCCCTCTCCCTCTCCACAGAGAACCACTTCAGCAAAACAGGGAGCCTCAGTTAGGCAGAACAACGGTCTGATTCAGGATCTCTCCTTCTTTAGAATAAACCCAGGACTAGGCCAGGAGCTTAGAAGCCCCTCTCCAGGGCTGGATGCTCACCCTCCAAGACAATCACAGCAAAGTCCTGAGCTGTCTGAACCTTTCTAGTGGCAAAACACTGATAGGCCCCTGAGTGGCTCTTTTGGGCAGCTGTGATGAGCAGCGTCTCATTGTGGATTCCCCGGATGGAGACAAAGTCATCTTGAACCACCAGTTCTGTATTGCGGAACCAACGGATGGAGTATTCTGGTGAGCCAGAAAGCGCACAAGAGAGAATAACGGTGCTTCCAATTCCAGTCTTTAGCTTCTTTGGTGTGAGGGTGACCCGCAGTGGCTCTGTGAAAGATAAAGAGTACAACCCATTTAAAGATAGGAGGAGATCCAAATAGGAGCCATCTTTGTCTGGCTATCAGACAACCCAACCTCTCTTCCCAATCCCATCATCCATGGCTTCTCTGCAGAGATGCTAACACAAAGTTGAAACCAAGAAGTGGGAATGTCAGGAAAAAGACATCTAGTTGGCTAGAAAAAATGCATCAAAGTTTTCCAGAGTCTTAGAGCAAGATGATCACCTGACCCACAACAATTGCTGTGGGAATTCCTCTTGATGGATCAGGTCTTTGAAAGTTTATTTTTCACAGCTATGTGACGTCACCATATTATTTAAATTATCCACTATAACCCCAAGATCCTTTTCCTACAGTAGTTAGTTATAGACAGCCGGTTCCCCAACTGTATCTGTGAATCTGAAGGGATTTGCCCCAATGGTCAATGTTCTTTAAATAAGTTCGCTGACTTCAGTGGAAATGCATTTGTTCTTTAATTGGAAAATCACACAGGACACCCTTCTGGAGCTCTTCAGAATAATTTTGGTTTTGCATCCTGAATAAGTTACATTTCATTCATAAATATGGGTAGGTTACTAGTCTCCCAAGCAGCCGGGTCCCCCAGGTGTGCATTTTCTGTAAAAATATGGAAGATCTTGGAGCACCTCCATGCTCTTTCTTCTATCCTCCCCCCCCAGTAAAAGTATTTTATTACACAGCATCTGAGAATTAATTAAGTCTTCACCCACTCACCTATTACTGTCAGGGTCCCAGTGACCTCAGCAGACCCAAAAGTGTTTGTGATTTCACAGATGTAGGTCCCACTGTCTTCCACCCGCAAACCACTGATCGTCAGGCCTGTGATACGCTTGGTCCATCGACTATCAGTAGGCAGGGGCCTTCCATCCTTTACCCATCGGATGGCAGGATTCGGGTATCCAGAGGCAATGCATGGCAATTCCACCAGTTGCCCCATCTTTGCTTCCTGGATCTGGAAACTGTCTAGAACAGTTGGGATGGACTCTGCAGGGTCTGAGAACAGAGAAAAAAACTGAATTCAGGTGGGGCAATCCAGCCCCAGTCCAAATTCTATGAATGCAGTGCATGACGATGCAAGATACTCTCAAGCCCTTTTAGCAATTTGTCTCTCCTCCTGAATTGGCTCCCTGGTCTCTGCAAGTGATGGACATCGATTTAAAGTTCTCGCCCAGCAGAACTTAAAAGTAGAATCTTCTGGGCCTTCTTGTTGGCCTGTGGCCATTTGGACAAATATTCAGTGACTGCTCCGGATGAAAGTGATATCAATAGGGGTGACTCCGCTCCTGCTATCCAAAAGAAATGTGCAGAGCAGCTTTCCCGAGTTGCGCAAAACAGTAGAAAATTTGACGCAGAGCACTCTGGATCCCATCTCTATGACGCCGCATACCAATTTTTTTTCTTTCCCTTTAAACAAACTATTTGTATGAGCACCCAAATCAGACAATTCACCTCCAGCTGACTAGCATGGGATTAAAAACAAAACAACAATAATTATAAAAAGGCAATACAATACAAAACAGTATATATAAAGGCCAACAATGCAACATATTTAAAACCCTAAACTAATTTTTTAATTTTTTTAATTATTAAATTTATTTGCCTCTCCATCTCGTTTTGAAATGACTTTTTTTCCAGATGGGTTCATTCAATGTATCAGCCAAGAGCTTGAGAAGGAAAATCTAGTTTTTAAAGACTTTAAAGGCCAGCAGGGTCAGACCATCAAAATCTTGGGGGGGAGGGTACGTTCCAAAGTGCAGGTGCTAATAGAGAATCCCTTCTAGGTGTCATCAGATGGTATTATTTTGTGAAGGGAATGCAAACTAGTTTTTCATATTCCTATTCATGGAATTTTGTTCATTTGTTTAGTATGCCAACCATTTCACTATCCAAAGCAACTCTTGACAGACACAAATGGAGAGTGGGGTCTTGCAAATAACCCAGCCCTGGGCTAATGAAGCTCACAAAACAGAGATGTTACATGGGTGTACCATCGTTTGCTCATAATTACCTGTGCTGCTGCATATTGGACCAACTGTGGACCACCAGCTGGCTATATGTGGATGTTGTAAGAGCAGAGAAATTAGCATGTTTTGCCACTCATCACTACAAGGTTGTACTTAATAAATGTCTCACTCACTTTTTGTTTTCTGTCAGTGCACTCCAGTTATCTCTGGAGCACCTCTGAAAACCACAGAGTTTTCAGGATCCAGAAGCAGAGATATGATCTGATCCAAGGTCATTGCTACCCCATCTTCCAGGGACAGACTAAGGTGTATTAGTTAAGCCATCAAAGTCTCAAGAACAAGCCTGGAATCCCACTGGAATCTAACAGGATCTACCAAATTCCTGAGATGGACCAATCAAATAGATCCTTCTTCCTGCATTAGGGAATGTCTGCAAATAATACTGATGCCCATAGAGAATGATCTGACTACAACAAAGGACCCCCCAGTTACACCCCCAATACCGATCACATCAACACTGTCCCAAAAGAAAAACAGGTGACCAAAATCGTGAGTTGGGCCTTCTGCAATCTTGACCAGTGGGAGATGAGAAGTTTGTTATTCAAGATATGTGAAGAAAGGAGATCGAAGCAACTTGGCATGGGGGCAAAGGAATTAGAAGAACAGTCTCTTGTCTAGCTGACCTTTCAAGAGCCCAGCACTTCCACAGACCTGTTCTCTGCAGGGATTTACTGAATGGCTTCTTTTAGGCCTAGACAGGATGAGGAAAAGCCTCTTCCCCTCACTGGGCAGAGTGGGAAGACTGGAGCTGCTTGGATAAGCTGCTCCAGGCTCTCCCCTCAGTATCCATGAAGCTTCTGCTGCTGGTAAGCAAGAGGGGAGAAGGCTCAGGCTTAGCCAGAAGCAGATTTTCTTCCGCTGCCCCAAACGATTGCAGCAGCTGAAGGTTGAGTAGATGGGCAGGTTCAGTGGAGGAAGAAAGAAGAAAGCCCTGTTTCCTACAACTCAAGAAGCACTAAAGTATTTTTGTACCACCCTGTTTTTGTTTTTCTTTCTTTTCCTTAGTTGTCCCAAAGTAAGTCTCCTTTCCATTTTGGGTGTTAAGCCTCACTTGGTGCTAACCCCAACACTTCTGTCCAGTATAGAAAACAGACCGATGTTCAGACTCCCCTGACCAGCACTTAGACCTCCTACCTTGTTTCTCTTGAGTAGGATTAAACAGAAAGAGACACAGATAGATTAGAAAATGATCTTAGCTACAAACTAGCAGGCACCTGACTGCCTGCTCCACTGGTTCAAATCCAGGGTGTTTTCTTCCTGTTTTTCCTATACATTTAAGAACTGTTTGAGCATTGTTTGGTGGCTTTGAAATTAAGCAGAATCACAAAATGGAAAGATCAGAAGAGATCCTACAGATCAGCTGGTGCAACCCCCTCTCCAGTGAAGGAATCTGCTGTTGGCAGGTCCTCAGCCCCGAGAACTGCTGGCTCTCAGGCTGCTTTTCATATTGATAGTTCTTCAGAAGAAGCATGTTGCTGCTGTGGGCAGGCCTTCCTGTCCCGGGGGACTTCCTCACATCAGCAGGGCTCCACAGAAGCCACAAACATCCTTGCCTGCCCCCCCCCCAACTCAGGAAAGTGTTCAAGGACAATCTCGGGCTTTGCCATAGGCTAATCTTTCTTCAGTAACCCTTGCTTCCAGATGGCCACCCCTGCTTCTCCCTTCTGGGAGCCCATTGAAGCAAGCCAAAAGCTTAGCCCAACTCCCTGGCAAATGACCCAGCAACACCTACCTGAGACAGACAAGCGGGCACCATTGCTCTGCCGCGTCTCCCCACTATACTTGTGCTTTGTAATGCATCTATAGGTGGACAGGGCATCTTCCTTCTGGACATCTGATATGTACAATCCACCATAGAAAGTAATGAAAAACCTATTTTCTAGAAGAGAGCAGAGAAAAGAGTGTAATGTCAGCATGTTTAGGTCCCTGAAGACTAAAAGAATCAGTGCAGAGGGGAATCAGCAGCAACACAACAGAAGGAGACATCTTGCAGGCTCTAACCTCTTCCACTGGAAAGCAAAGGGCAACAGAATCCCAGAAAGGGGCCAAGGCCCAGACTGCAAGGGGACTTTTCCTTCTGGCAAGTGGGAATTAATCTGGTTAAGCCCCCAAATTAACAGTTATTTCTACTCCTTAGATATTGAGGTGTCTTAAATAGCTTTAGGACTAAAACAAACATTCTGGTTAAGCCCGTCAGAAAGAGAGAGCAGTTTATACTTGTCTGCAATCTCATCCACACACTGCATGTGTCTGTGCAGGTACAAAGTATAGACACACATTGGAGATGAGATGCCAGCAATAAGGTGTGCTTCACTTACCCACACCACTGTGTTGGCAAGTGAAGGCAAGGGGCCATCCACCAAGAGACTTTGGCAGAGAAGCCCTGCCAAGGAATGCAATGAAATGTAATTGGTCACTGACCATCAGAGGGAGAGGGGTAAGTTTCTCTGCAGCCTGGAGGGAATGGGCTCCAGCTGTCCAGCAGTCCCCACTTGCCCAGCCAATCCCCAGCTGAAAGCATTGCTCAAAACCAGCTTCCTCCCCAGGGCATCCCAACATTGGAGAGATGTACCCTGGCAAGGTCCTTTTCTCTGGAGGACTACAATTATCCTCAGTACAAGCCATGGGTTGAAGTTCAAAGTCATCAGTCTGGAATTGGGGAGAGGGGGGGCCAGAGAAGGGGGACAAAGAATACAGATTCTCCCAGCTGCCTGCGAACCAACAGCCTGGAGCCTGTCTGCCTCAGAATTTGGTGGTGGGGGGGAGAGGCAGTTGCTATGGCAACAGGCAACCACTGCTTTGCAAATGGCTGCTCTCCCCTGTCCAATTTGTATGCACATTTAATTGATGGAGTAGCTTTTCAGAAGCATTGAATCTTATATTCTGCAAGGAAGGAAAAGGCCTTGGGGGAAGGAGGCTGCACTAACAAAGAGCCTGCTAAAGGATTCCCTACTCTGGGAAATATGGGGTGGGGGCAGATCCTCCCCAAAAGAAAGGAACATCAGCAGCCAGAAGTCCTTTAAGCCAACAGGCTGAAAAGGGAACTGCTATCTGAGCTCTGCCGCCAGCCCAGAGGGGCCCTCAGATCTGTTATCGTGGGTCAATCTTTTCCTGTGGAGAGGGCGGAAAAGGAGGATCCTGGCCACCTACTGCTCTGTGTTTGGGCTGTGCCCCAAAGGGCCAGGGAGGGTTCATTGTCTCTCCCCCTTAGCAAGGTGCCAGTCTTATGCTATCTCCAGGGACGGGCCTTCTCCCCAGCTGAATCAGTAGCTAGGTCATTTCATAGAGGCTTAAGAAACCATTTTCAAAAACTCACACAAATTTATCTGATGGCCTGGTTATCAGCTCACCAAGCCAAGAGCTGGTTTCAACTATTTCAACCTAACCAAAACACTGTGAGAGTTTTACCTTTTCAGTCCACCCACCGCCAAATCCTGAATGACAAATACAAAGAAAGGAGGCTCCCATTCATAAAAACCTTTTCCCCATCAGGCTTGGGGGTTTCACCGTCCCTCAACCACCAGGCCTGCCTAAGCTGGCAGACTCCTGCCCTTAATCTCTTCTCTAAGTACAGCTCTATCTTTCCCGGTTAAAGGATTAACACCCATCCCTCATTCAACTATGGCAATGAGATTTTATTTCTAATTACATCGTAATAAAACTGGGAGCGCTCCCAGGGTTTTCGCCAAATGACTTGTAGACACTCTACAAGATTGGATCCTACTTGGCTGCATTGTAATAGCATTTTCTCTGACATTCATTAGACATGCATGAAGGAGAGGACTGAAGAATAGAATTGCATTTAAATGGATTTCCTGGGAAGGAGGGAGAATAGGGAGGGGGAGGAGGAGGAGGAGGGGGGGGAGAGAAGGGAAGCGAGAGGGGGAGGAGTTAACAGGGGCTGGGCTCTTTGGAGGGCATCCTACCTGGCCTGCCAACAAACCACACATGCCAGAGATGAAAACAGGCAAGACAGGATTTTGGTAAAATGCAGCTTTTATGCTGCAATTATTTTTGCATAGAATTAATACATAAACTCTGTTGTTTACATTTTATGTCACCCCTTCTCAGTGCTTCCTCCTTTCTTCTCTTTCCAATACTGTATTTTACTTGTAACTAGAATAACATTTCATGCACCCAACAGAGTGGAGCCGACCCCTGTGGCATAATAGAGCAGTGATTGTCTGAGTTACCACATTGGAACACATTGCAAAGAGCTAGATAACTCCTCATCCACAAAAGGGATGTGCACAGCCACTAGCCTTTGGCAATCCTGACCCTCAATCTGAAACTTTCTAGGGGACAACCAGCATCCTATGCAGTCACAACAAATTCAGGCAGGCTTCCCTGACAACTCCACGCTGGCTGAAGTCCCTGAAATAGAGGCAGCTGCCCTTTTCAGTGGAAGAAGGAAGGAAAATCTACCAATTTTTCATGGCTTGTTGGGTCAGCATTGCATCGAGGAGGCTCCAAAGAAACCAAAAGCTGAAAGATGCAGAAGAAACAAAAAGGAAGATTTCTTGCCAGAATGAATGAAATTGGTATCTTTTGGTAGATACCAAATCCAAACAGATTAACAAATTAATAAAAAGCTAAAATAATTGATAGCGGGAGAATGGAATCTGTAGGAATGTGACTCTCTGGGACAGGCTGATCCAGCTATAGGGAACCTTGTCCGTATTTGTCATTTGATTGTGAATCACCCAGACTCAAGATAAAATAGGCTGGTATATAAATTATTATTTCGTCTAGTGGCAGAGCAGGAACATGTCAACTTCTTGGCTGGACTGGAGTTTCTATGCTGAGACCTTTTCTGGGTACCCTCCCCAACTACCACTCAGTGGCTGCAATTTTGGTCAGGATGGGTGCTAAGGAGAAGAAAGGCAGGAAGTCCTTGAATAGATATGGGCAGGCTATAAGATGGTAGGGAGTGAAACAGAATTTCTTATGAATTCTGCCTCCCTGCAACCAACCTCAGCAATTTAATCTCATTCTCAGAGAAGTGGGTATCACTGCTGCTCTTCCATCACTCTCTGCTCCTTTTAGGAAAGGTGCTGAGTTTGCCCCAAAACAAAAATTAAACCTTTTTTTACAAGGGGTGCAAGTCTAGCACCAAAGAACCATTTCCCAGAAAATGATTTAACAAGGGAGATGCAGGTTAGAGGGCTGATTTCCCTCAAAGCTTTCCTTCTTGGACTTGCACAGAGCAAAAGCAGAGTCTCCGTGCAAATTCTGACCAGTAGAGTTTGGGTTCTACGTCTGCAGTTTTGAAAGAAACTCAATTTTGGAGGTGAGGGAATGTTTCCACCACTAAGGCAGAGTGTTCCCATCTTCATCCTAGCTAAGAGGCAAAAAGGAGATACAAATTCTCTACCTGCTTTAGGGATCCATGCATGGCTGAGCCTATTATTTCCCAAATACCATAGTCTCCCATGTCTCTTCTTCCAGTTAGATTCTTTTTTTTCCCACTAAAATGTGGAACAAATCAAATTTCATGCTAATGAACAAAAAAATCTGATCAAGATGCATCTCAAACCATGAAACAGAGAACAGGCTTGACTGGGCATAGTGGTCTCCCTCCCTCCCCACCCTCATTATACCCAGATTATTAAGCAAGACTTCTTGGTTTGTCACTTCAGTTTCATCAACCTTGGGCAACTCCACTCCTGCTCCACTCCTAAGAATCTCTTGGAACTCTTCCAATATCTGGATTTTGCAATGTACTACAAAGCCCCATGAGATGGAACCTGGAAAAAGATCATGCTCTATCTCCCCCTGAAGTTCTCTAATTCCAAAAATCCAGCATTCAGGAAACTGCACTTTCACAAATATTCTGCCTAGGTTAGAAAATGTTTAAGGAAACAGGTACAGGTAGGTGGGGAGGAAGGAGAGAGAGAGGGAGGGAGGGGGAGAGAGAGAGAGAGAGAGAGAGAGAGAGACTAACCTCACCCACCCTGAATATGAAGTTCAGAAAAATTCACACCCCTCCCTAACTTTTAAAGACAAAGGAATTCCTCTTCTTCCTGGAAAATGAACAGCAACCCATCCTGTACATTCTGCAACCCAGCAGTCTGTGGGAAAAGAGGAGGGCAAATAACTCTGCAACTTCAGAATAAGATAAGTACAATTGGCCTACATGGTTACTATTAAGCTGCTAACTAAGCACTGCCAGGCTGAAAGCTACCCTAAATCTGTGGCTACGTAAGAAGGAACAAGCCAGAGCAGGAACAAAAGTCCATGTGAGATACTGTGGTACTGTAAAGAAAACCCGGGGGGGGGGGCTCATCACCAAATGCTACAAAAGAAGGAGCCTTTGGAACACAAAGCTGAGAAGAGCTTCAGGTTCAGCAGCCATCGCTTGCAGCAGAGACGTCTCCAGATGGCTTCTCTGTCTGGATGATGGGCCAACTGAAACACCTCCCTGCACCAGGAGGGGCTCCGATACCAGCAGGAGCTGGTTGCTTTGCACTAAGTAAGAATTTGCTTCTGGTCCCGAGAACGAAGACTCTCCTCTTTATTTATTTATTTTTATTGAAAAGTTTTATAAAAGCTACAATATACACCCCAAAACCCACCCACCCTAACCCCCCCCTCTCCCTCCCCCACTTCCCAGAGCTGAGTACAGGGTAACAAATATAATAATCATACTCTAACATTAACCAACTATGTAAATAACCAAGTCCATAATGCGCTTTAACTCCCCTTTAACATAAAAATAAACAAATTAAAAATAAACATAATAATATAAACAAGTTAATATCCTAATTCTTGAATAATACAATATCCAAATTGTTAAAAAATATTAATACTAAAAATAGTAATAAAACTAATAAAAATTCCACTATAGTAAACTATTAATAATAATAATACTCTAAAATT